CCTAGAACTCACCCTCCCGAGTTCTACTCACTTTTATGGAAGTAAACTGAACAACTTTCTCACCACTTTCGTTATTTTTTTTCATATTGCCAAAATTCTAAATTTTTTATTATGATCTTAAGAAATTTTCTGTAAGGATACCCAGGTAAAAAGATTTGGGTCTGTTGAGTGTGGTGGTAGCACATCCTCAGACAGCTGAAGTTGTCATGGTGACTGCCTGTGGACCTGCCATCCTACTACTCTGTGAGAAATACAGAGTAGTAGAAATACAAAAACCAACAGTAAAGAATTCCCAACTGCCTCCCAGGGCTTCAGCACAGCATGGTCACCACCGTTTGATGTGGGGCAATCTAGTTATCATGAGAATCCTATTTGTCCATCTATCTGGCCCAATCACATGCCCCATTCAAGTGCCAAATTTTTGAGGGTCAAAGCTTAGACTCTGGAAATCCCAAGAATCTAAGCTTTGTACTTACCCACATTACACCAATTAAAAAGAAAAATAACAGGTAATGAGGTCCCCCAAACTCCAAGATAATCTCCTGGGTCCTGACACTAGGTTTAGGTTTAAATAGAAGGCAAGAAGTCTGCCTTACTAAGTAGCCATGTTCTGTGGAAGCTCCTTCCATCCCCGATGATGAGATCTTGCCATTCCTGAAGATCTGCCTTACCAGATGGTCTGAAAATTTGTCAGAAGAGTGTGTGAAATCTCTTCCTAGGAAACAAGCTACTACTCTGACAGGCACTAGGCCAGAGCCTTGCCCCTTACCCTCTTTATCTCTTACCCACTTGGGAAGGAAAAGGCTTGTTTGGCTTACACTTCCACATTAGAGTCCATCAGTGAAGGAAGTTAGGACAGGAATCCAAACAGGGCAAGAACCTGGAGGCAGGAGCTGCTGCAGAGGCCAAGGAGAAGTGTTGTGTGCTGTCTTGCTCCTCATAGCTTGCTTGCTCAGCCCGCTTTCCTACAGAACCTAGGATCACTGTGTTAGATCTATTAAAAGCATGAGGCTGTCAACCGATCTTCTATTCAAGAGGTTTATTAGGTGGGTATGGAGGGAAGGGGGAACAGGACATGGTGGGGAGAGAGAGAAAGAAGGGGAGAGGGTGCCCCAAGAGAGAGAGAGAGAAGAGAGAAGCAAGATTAAGAGAGCGACCACGTGTTGGGGTTGTCCCTTTAAGGGGCAAGGTAACTGCGCCTTCCAGGTGTGGCCAACCTGGCCAGCGACACATGATGACATCATAAATTGCTAGGTAATCCCAGAAGCAGGTAGTGTTCCAAAATACTAACACACTGGCCCAAGGGTGAACACCACCCACAGTGGGCTGAGCCTTCCCTCTCAATAATTAATCAAGGGAAGTCCCCATAGCTGGGTCTTTTGAAGAATTTTTTTCAATTGAGATTCCTTCCTTTTGGATGACTCTAGCTTGTGTCAAGTTGGCATAAAACTAGCCAGGACAGCCACCTTGCCCCTTACCTGTCCTACCTCTAAGCCACCGTGACCCACTTTGCTTATTACCCACTTTGTCCTTCACCCAACATGAGATTCCTGATAGAAATCCAGTCTCTTGGGTGCCAGAGCCAGCCAGCAGAGTCGAATGGTTCTAGAGTCGGGAGTGAGGATTGATATTAATAAGATAAACACACAGCACACAGGAAACTTTTTAAAGGTCCAGACTCGACAGCCACAGCAAAAGGCAGGCTGCCGCAGCAAGCAGCGCAAGCAGCAAGTCTCAAGTCTCTGCCTCCAACCTTCTGACCTCTTTTTTTTGTGAGAAGTTTCTTTTAGCCAGTAAAACATCTCAGAACAATGGGTTAATTTCCACAAGGAGCCTGAGGAAGAGGTGTGACCCTCACAAGCTTCCCCACCTACTGTCACAAACAAAAGCCGCTGGAGTCGCGGCTCCCAGTACTTGGGGTCCAATGTGTCGGTCGGGTCGTCCGATGACAGACATGTGTCTCCTTAAACATTTTCTCCTGGCAACATGGTTGCAACCTTGGTGCCCTGCATCTCACGCTGACTCAGAGTGTGCATCTAGGGACCAAAGGCAGCTGTGAGGCACCCAGGTCCTCTGCAAAAGTAACACTCCCTTAACTGCTCAGCCCTCTCTCCAGCCACAGAACAGAGAAGGTAAAAACACAGGCAAGCACCTGTAATCCGCTGAGCTCCAGCAAAGTTGCCAAAGCAGTTCAATGAAAGAAGAGCCTCTTCAGCCAATTACAAGGGGCAATTAAAGAAGAAGCGTTACATCCATTACCTCCTGTAATCCACCCTTCAGGGACATTGATCTTAAGAGGGAAAAAAGAGCCCAACAACACAAAACCCAAACCAAACAAACCCAAAAATGGCTTCATCAACAGATCTTCATTGTGTGCCTTCAGCACTGTTGAGTCTTTCATCAGCATTGCAAATTCCATTCAGACACAAGATGGCACCAACAAACAAGGCTTAGGCCCACACTAAGCTAATGTAACTTATTTCTCCTAAGTTACATTCTTGCTAGCCCCAGTATTTCATCAGTGACTTGGGGAGACAGAGACTGATTCTCACCAATGACTGAGAAGGTGAAGTGAGATCAGCTATAAAATATCTGGTACCCAGGAGATGTGTGATGAAGGGGAATGAAAGAAGGGATCTTAAATTCCTCATTACCTTCTCCTAAGCATAATCAGTTCTGATGAGGACTGGTTGGTGTGTTCAAAAATATATTCAAGTTGTCCTCCGGCTTCCACATACATGAACACACATGCATGCTTACACATAGGTTAGTATAATTTAAGGTGGATAGTTGTGGAGGTTTTATTTTGTTTTTATTTATTTTTTAGTACAATTTATTCACTTTGTATCCCAGCTGTAGCCTCCTCCCTTGTCCCCTCCCAATCTCACCCTCCCTCCCTCTTCTCCTCCCATGCCCCTCTCCTAGTCCACTGACAGGGGAGGTCCTCTTCCTCTTCCATCTGACCCTAGTCTATCAGGTCTCATCAGGACTGGCTGCATTGTCTTCGTTTGTTCTGTTTTTTAAGACAGGGTTTCTCTGTATAGCCCTGGTTGTCCTGGCGCTTGCTCTATAGACCAGGCTGGCCTTGAACTCACAGAGATCTGCTTGCCTCTGCCTCCCAAGTGCTGGGATTAAAGTTTGTGCCACTACTGCCTAGCTACGTTGGTATACATTGTTTTGTAAATTCCTGAAGGGGAAGTCTTAAGCATGTGGTCAAGAGGGCCACTGGGGACAAAGTAGGTCAGGCAGCTCCTGTCTCCCCATCCTTGTTTCTCAGTGCTACTACGTTACTCAGTGCTTCATTCGCTCCTCCAGCCACTCGTTTTTCTCCATCTGCTGAACAGCTCCTCTGCTCTAGGGTGAGTCAGTCTCAGACACAGTGAGTCAGCTTTTTGTCTCAGTTCCCAGTCTTACATCTTGTAAGAAAAGGTCTGATTGGCTCATCTAGGCCAGGTGTTCACAACTGGTTCTGGGGCAGGGTCACCTGAGAGCCAAAGCTGTCCCAGCAGGCAGAGCAGACTCCGTAAAGGAGCCGATGAGGATGAGGCGGCTTTAAGTACACTGACCACCTCTTTACATGCTCCGAGGAGAGTCAGGCCCCACCTGGCTGCAGGAAATAGACTCTTGGAGACATTCTTTCGCTTCTGTGCACCCTGTTTCCTGTCTGTAAACTGAGGGAAGTGCAGGCCGCGTTGGAGCAGCTGTGCTCAGGAGGACCTGGACATCACAAACCAGATTCCACACTTCTGGCTTTTATTTCGTCTGTGTTTTTATTGTTGTTTTAGGTTTTTAAGAGAGAAGAAGGTGGGTGGGTAGGGAGGTAAGGGGGGATCAAGGGAGGGAGGGATTAGAATACGGTAAAGATGTTTGGAATTCTCAAAGGAGAAATAAAAGCATTTGGAAGCACTGAGAGGTGACTCCAAAGTTAAAATAATGACCTGTGTTGTCAGGTGGCCCTCTAAGCGCCTCATGGCACAGCTCTGCAATGTCCGTGAAACACTGAACATGAGTCGCTATAGACGTAAAGTATATACTGAAATATGTATGCTGAAATCTGTTTCTTAGTGTATGGGGAGGGGTCGGATTTTATGTATATACAGACACTATTACTGAAATGTAGAATACACGTATTGAGATGTAGAATAGATGCATTACTATTGTAGAATGTAAGGGTGGTGGTCTCCTGAGTGGGGTTAGAAAACCCTAGGACGCGCCTTCCGCTCTGTGAGGGCGTACGAAGCCATCTACAATTTTAGAAATGGATATGATGGCACCTTGATGTTAAAGAACGGTATTGTGCTCTATCAGTCCAGATTAAGACAGGTGCCATCTATTCCAACACCCAGGAAACCGATGTGAAGACTGCTCAACCCTCACTCTTACAGAAAAAGGAATCACCTTTCCAAACCACCTGGCCTTAGTCGCCTCACTCTGAAGTTCAGCTTTCCGTTGCTAAGTCTGATGTTTAAGCTCTCTAAACGAAACAGAAAGGCGAACTGGAATCCGAAGGTAAATGTTCTGTTCCTTTATCACCTACCACACTCCAGATCCCTTTAGTAATGCAAACGAAGTAGACTGTAAAAGACTGGCAAAGTTGTCTGCTGTTCCCTGGCTGTGCCTGACGCTCTCTGCAGTAGGCCCTGCCTGCAGACTGACGGACTGACTGCCTCTCCCCTCCGATCCCCAGGGCCCTGCCCTGTGAGCTACTCTTGCACAGGTTCGCTTGGTTAATGAGGCCTCCTAGGCCCCACGCCCACGCGGCGCGGGGTGAGCTGGGCCACACGGTCGTGGGGAGGCCCTTCTCCGCCGCGTCCGCCCGTGACCTGGCGGCCCGCGGAAGTCCCGCCCCGGGGCCGCCCCTGCACGCCAGGCTCCGCCCCGCCGCGGCCGCTGTGCGCTGTGCGCTGTCCGCCCGCCGGTGCTGATCCACGCGGAGGCCGCTGGTTGCCCGGTGCGCTCGCGGGAGCCGGCGGCCCGGCGCGCCATGCCCCTCGCGGCCCGCACGCTCGCCGCCTCCGCGCAGCAGCCAGGCCCCGGGGCCGCCGCCGTGCTCTGAGGCCGCGCTCGCGCCATGGCGGCGCGGGGAGGCCCGGGCTCCCGGCACCGCGCCCTCCGCGGGCTGCTGCTGCTCTGCCTCTGGCTGCCGAGCGGCCGGCCCGGGGAGCCCGCCGCGCCGCCGTCGGGGGTGGACCGGCTGCTCCAGGACTTCCGCCGGCAGCTTCAGCGGGCGCGGCCGCGCGACGAGCCGGAGCCGGAGCTGCTGGGCGGCCCGCGGGAGGACTGCCCGGGCGCGGGCGGGACGGCGGTCTACCGGGCCGCGCCCGACACCATCATCCGCACCCAGGACTCCATCGCGGCGGGGGCCAGCTTCCTGCGCGCCCCGGGCACCGTGCGGGGCTGGCGGCAGTGCGTGGCGGCCTGCTGCTCCGAGCCGAGCTGCTCCGTGGCGGTGGTGCAGCTGCCCCGGGGGCCCGGCGCGCCCGCGCCCGCGCCCGCGCCCGCGCCCCGGTGCTACCTGTTCAACTGCACGGCGCACGGCCGCAGCGTCTGCAGGTTCGCGCCCCTCCGCGGGTACCGCACTTACACTCTCAGCCGCGCCGGGGACGCCGCCGCGAGCTCGCCCGGCCCAGGTAAGCGCCGCTGGAGTCCTGCGGGCTCCGCGCCTGCTACCGAGCATGCAGAACCCGCTGCTTCCAAAGGATTGTAGCTGCGGGTAACCGGGAAAGCGGCTCACTTTTTTTTTTTTCTTTTCTTTTTCGGGCTTAGGGGTGGTGCTAAAAAAAAGTCTAGTAGATGCGCAGAAACAAGTTCTGTGGGCTGCCTTTGAAAGCCACCTAAAGTGGGGCGGGTCCTCAAGAGAGGCCTGGCGGAAAAGGGATTTCAGGGTGTCTCAGAACCTCCTTTCCCCAATGGACATTACTTTAGTATTGTTTCGTCCCAGGGGTTTTGTAAAGCGTGTTTTGCCGCAGGAAATAACAAGGACAAGATTTGGTTAGATGCAAAATTGCCCCTAGCATCCACCCCACCCCATCCGCTTGGCTCTCTGCCTGTGTGTACTTCCTTCAGGTAAAAAACAGAAAGGAAAGCTGGTCACTCTTCCTCCACGCTTCTCTCCCATTCCTTACCTGCAGATACTCCCACATTCGTGACATTTTTGTTTTTCTGTTTCTAAGCAGTGCCAGCTGCGCGCTGAGGGGTTTGACCACTGTACTGGGCTGAGTTCAGCAGCCGGTACACTGTAGGATAATGTGTAAGGTGCGTCTCTCTCTAAGATACCCACGGAGCTCGCTGGGTGGCTGTATATGCAGGTGCTATCGATGAGCCCAGACACACTGAAGGAGCAAAGTAGCAGAGAAACAAAATCCATTCCTGGGGCTCTCCGAGCTCATCCGGAAGAAATTTGCCCTGCTGTGAGAGCTTTGGGGGAAGAAAAGTAGACAGGGTGAAGAGTAAGGCGATCCAACGGCCGCCCAAGTGCTTTTTCTCTTCTCACTCTCCTCTTTCTCCTTCCGTTCTCCTGGGGGAATTTCCCATCGCTGGCATGGCCTCCTCTCTGGGGAGCTTTTGACGTGCCAAGACTTCTTCAGCAACCCAGGGAAGCTGAAAAGCGTAGCTTAGGCTCACGGGCCGTATTTGTTCGCCCTGCATGGAGGCAAAGTCCATTTTACAGAACTCCGGGATTCCCCTGTCCTGATGGGCAGGACTTCCTCGGGCTGTCAGGTCACGGCTCAGGGTGCTCAGGAGGAGTTGGGGACTCCAGGGACTGCCTGGCTGCTCTGTGGCCCTGCTCACCCAGAGCAGTCTGGATGTTTGGAGGAAGTACATACAGGCAGAAAGCCAAACTAATATTCCAGCATTCATTAACTCTGTTTGAGTTCTTACTGTTTCTAAGACTATTTCAGTTTCCTTCCTGGATTATTATTATTATTTCTTTCCCCCATTCTTGCGAGTTTTGTGAACATGTGGAGTTTGAGGATCAATGAGTCAAAGTGATTTAGCAAAGCTCCTAGTAGGTAGTTGTGAGCGGTCCATTTGGGGTGAATTAAAGGCCCAAGAAGACATGGGAGAGTGCTGTATGGAAGGGAATAGACTAGACTTACAGCATTGCCCATCAGTCAGGATTGTGGTCGCTGTCGTTGTGTTTGATGTTAGAAGCTATTTTAAGCTATTTGCACACGTGAACTTAGTGTTCTTACGACGGCTCGAAGGCCAAATCCTGTGATTTGTAAGGCTGACCTGCAAAGCACCTTGCATGAGGGCCATGTAGCAAGTAGTTTGCTGAGCTGAGCCATGGAGTAGCTCACGGTGCTTTCTCTAGTAGCCTCTGAAGACCTGTCACCCTCTGGGAAAACGAGGCAGCTGTCGGGGATAGTGAGAGAGCACCTCCCTGCTGGAACACCTGAAGAAAGGTGGCTGCTTGGAGTCCTCAGTCCTGGAGTCTGAGTCTAGGCTTCTTCCATCCAAGTCCCTGGCAATCTTCGTGGGACTTGAATGCCTTGCTTGTGTTCTAGCTCAGACTGTCATGATAACCAAGTGGATATTCCCTGTGAATTATTGGGGTGGTACAGGTGTTGGTATTATCATTACAGAGCCTTGGTTGGCTGGTGTGACTGACTGGAGGGGCAGACAGAATGCCTTGAGAAAAGAGGACGGTGGGGTGGAGGCTGAAGTCCGAGGATCCTGAAAGACTGAAAATATAATCTCCCAGCATTCCCTTTGTGTTGTTTTGACTAACTAACCTGAAACAGAATATCTGTGGGTAGAGCTTGGAAAGGCAACCCTTTGCATACCAGAGAAATGCTGTTCTACGTCTGATGGGAGCCTGGGCATGTTATGCCCAGTTTGTGAGACCCCAAAGACCACCAGGAATCAACTCCGCTGCAAAACGCATGAGGGTTTATTTAATACAAGCCCGAGCCCAGGTCTCAAAACTTCCTGTGGAAGCAGGAGAGGAATGCAGTGGGGTAGTCTAGGGGAACAAACTCCTTAAAGGATCTGGGGTTTCCACAGATCTGGCAGAGAGGAGGGAACCCAGCTGAGAGAGGGAGTCAGTCATTTTAGCCCCAGCTCAGGGGTTATCCGGTAAAGCCAGACTTTGACCTCAACAGCAGGGTCCAAGAGAGGAAACAAAGCCTCAGGCAGAATTCTGCTGTGCCCCAAGCAACCTCCCTCTGCTGCCTGTCTTCAAGTACAGAGCAAGAGCTGACCTTCCTGTTCTGGGCTGATGTCATCTCCACAGATCTGAGTCTCATTTTCATCTTGTCTTGCATTAGGAGTAATCGCTTGGCAGTTTCAGAGAACGACTAGCTCTGACCACACAAATCCCAGATGGATATTTGTTTATTTTTAATCATCTATTTACTTAGTGTTTATGGACATGCCTGCCACAGCATATGTCATATGTATGGAAGGCAGAGGCAAATCTGCAGGAAGTTGGTTCTCTCCTTCCATTGAGTGGGTCTTGGAGGTGAAATCCAAGTCATCAAACTTGCCACTGAGTGCCCTTATTTACTGAGCCACCTCAGTATATAAACACATGCATTTTAAAATTAAGCCACAGTCTATTCCACAGTTAGAAAAACTGGAAACTAAATTCAGTATTACATATCTGGAGGGAAGATATCTTCAAATCAATTAAGTAGATCATAAAAGAAAGATTTTGTACAAATTCACAAAAAAATGTCAACAAATAAGGAATTGCAAATAAGAGTCTAGGAAATATGATCTTAAAATATTAAAAGAGCTGAGAGTTGGTTTGACAAAAACAAATGAAAAAATAATGTGAGTCAACAGTTCCCTGGTGAGGAAATGCAGTTGATAAACATGGGAACTGTCCAAATTTAAAATTATTTAGAGCCTAGGCATATAGCTTCGTGGTAAGAGCACTTAGCTAGCATATTTGAGGGCCCAGGCTCAATCAGTACCACCAAAAAGAGGGGGGGAAATCAAATGTAAATGTCAGCTTACACTTACTAAATTAAAAAAAAAATTAGCTTGGTGCACATGTGGGAAATCATACTCATGCTCATTGACAGTGTAAAGTGGTGCCTGCCTCTTGGAAACTAACTAGGAAATAATGTATTGGAGATGTAAAATATCCGTTCTTCTGGAGCAGTAGCTCTCAACATTCCTAATGCTGTGACGCTTTATACATTTGCTCATGTTGTGTGACCGCCACCCCACAAAGTTATTTCATTGCTACTCTGTAACTGTAATTTTGCTACTGTTATGAATCATAACGTAAATGTTTTTGGGGATAGAGGCTTGCCACAGAGGTTGTGACTCACAGATTGAAAACTACTGTTCTAGAATATTTTTACAAAGAATAATCTGTGCTAGAGAAAAACAGTATGTGTAAAAACATGTGTATTGTGGCATCTTTTATAGTGTAAAGTTGATGAAAATAAATACCCAGTTTTAAAGGTTAATTAATAAAAATGGGCCGGGCGTGGTGGCACACTCCTGTAATCCCAGCATTCAGGGAGGCAGAGGCAGGTGGATCTCTGAGTTTGAGGCCAGCCTGGTCTACAAAGGGAGGGCAGGACAGCCACGGCTACACAGAGAAACCCTGTCTCAAAAAACCAAAAATAACTAAGTAAACAAAAAGCAGTAGAAAAGGTGCAGAAAGGATGGCCTGTGGTAGGACACATGCCTAGCATCACTGTCTCTGAGTTTGATCCCCAGAACTCGAAAAAAAGAAGGCAAAATGGAAGTTGTAGAGTTTATGTAATTACACTGAGGTTGTAAGATGTCTGAACAAACACTAAAGGGCAGAATAGAGCAGTAAGTGAGTGGATTCAACTCTATGACCTCTATAAATTCCCAAGGTAATGAAAAAGCGTAGAGGAAGCACCTGTGAGCTGGAAGCACCTGACATAAGTTCGCCACCTGCCTGTGATGTCAATCACCTGCCGCAGCTTCCCTGAGCCCGTGTCAGCCACTCAGAATGCCTGCTTTTCCCTGACAGTGAACACCAAGTGAGGTCACGCCTGGAACGCACTCTTCATGTACAAAGCACTCAGTAAATGCAGCCGTTACAATTGTGTAAATACAGTTGTATTGATCATCAGCGTCATATGGTGACTGGAACTGTGGATATGGTTTTTTTTTTTTTGTTTTGTTTTGTTTTTTTGTTTTTTTTTTCTTGAGTGATACAATTTAAAAAATAAATGATTAACTCTGGCCTGGAAGGGAAAAACAAAGAAATGCATGATCCCTTTCTTTCACGTGTCCTCCTCTCTTCCCTTCTCTGGCCCAACTTGAGCCTCATTTCGCATCCTTAACTTCCCCGCCAGTCTATAGACTTTGCACCCCTTGGCACAGATTCAGGAGGTCAGAGCAGGAAGGTTCCGTTTATAGCAATGTGTTGTGAACAAGCTCAGCTAACATCATTCTCTAAATTAAATCCCACCTCGAATCCTCAATCTCAATTGGTTTGAGTCTTTGCCCAGAAGGTCTTACCCACTGCCTTTAGTTTCCAAATCAATGTTTCCACAGTACTTAACTTGTTCAATTACATTTTTTATAATGAAAATTCAAAATTACATTTAGCTCCTTCTTGGTAAGAGGACTTATTTTGCTTAGAGAACTGTTTTTCTGTAGATAAGTTCTGGTTTGTTTCAAAGTACATTTAACAGTGTAATTGGCCTGGACAGGAACTGAGAAGGAATTGTTATCTCAGAGGTCAAGTTAGGCTGTGAGGGTTTCCCTGGGCTCAGAAAATACATCTATGGACCACTTAACAAAAGTCAGTGATTGTTGTGACTTTCCTTTAGGGGAGGCAGAATTAATTTGTTTCATGGCAAGCAGGATATTTCAGTGCTTTCCTGATTTTTCCATGTAAAATCCTTAAAGGTTTTAAATATTTATTATTAGGGGCTGGAGAAATGGCTCAACAGTTAAGAGCACTGGCTGCTCTTCCAAAGGGCCTGAGTTCAATTTCCAGCACCCACATGGCAGCTCACAACTGTCTGTAACTTCAGTTCCAGAGGATCTGACATCCTCACACAGACACACACGCTGGCAAAACACCAATGTACATAAAATGAAAACAAACCATTAAACAGATGTAAAATACATTATTAGTTTTCTCTAGGTGCTGCAAAGAGCCAGCACCCACACTTCCTCTCACACTTGCCTCATAGCTAAAATCCCATATCGGAATACATTGCTAGTTTACTGTTTGGGGCTTGAAGGGACACAATGGGGGTTAACGGGAGAATGACTTCAGTTGATTATTATTCTCTGAGGTTTTTGATGAACTGATCTGTTCTGCTCTTTGTAGGTTGGGAAACCAGGGGTTATGCCTCTTAAGTCAGTCCTCTTTCACAGGTGAGGATGAGCCTCCACTCAGCAAGGCCGGGAAGGATGTGGTTTTGCACCTGCCCACAGATGGGGTGATTCTGGATGGCCGAGAGAGCACAGATGACCACGCCATTGTCCTCTATGAGTGGACACTGCAGCAGGGTGACCCATCAGTGGGCATGAAGGTGACCCATGTCATTCTTGCTAACAAAATCAGATGCTTCTGGGAAGTATTCTTCTGTAATGTCCTTTCCCTAAATGCATGGGAGCAAGCAGAGCATGCATACAATGGGGACAAATTATAAAATTGATTATCCTAAAAATGGTTTATTCCGTAAACTCCCTTTTGTGCTTAGTCAACAGTCTTGATTGTTTGCTTTAAGGCTTGCCAGGGTCCTGCTCCTTCAGCCCAAAGGAAAAGACTTCCACTGTGTTTTAATAATTCTGGTTATCTTCTAAAAGCTTTCCCTTTTTCTTAGTATAAGATTTGGGTAGCAGTCAAATGTGATAGCGCATGCCTGTAATTCCAGTACCCAGGGGGTTGAGGCAGGAGGATCACAAGTTCAAGGCCAGTCTAAACTACATCACAAATTCCTGGCTACCCTGGGTTAAAATTTTGCCTAGAAAGTATGAAAGAAAAGATTATAAGGAGGAAATTGATAATAGAAAGAATTCTTTCTATACATGATATGGGAGCATTTTACACAGCAGTTAACCCTCCTTATGGACACTGTGCTAAGAGAGGAAGGCAGCATTGGGCTGTCCTGGCCCCTGCTGTCTTGCTCTGCAGCAGGCTCACCTGGCCACGGCTAGACTGGCCTCGAAGGAAAGGAACCATTTGTGCAGGGGTACCTGCTTACACCAGCCATGAGACAGTTAGAGCCATTTCTAGACGGGAGTGCTTCCAAACTAAACCTCGTTCACTTCACCCAAGCCACTTCCCTGAGGGAAGGGCTTCCTAGCCCCTTTCACAGGAATCACCTAAAACTATTGAAAAACACAGATATTTCCTTTACGATTCTGAATGGTAGCAAATACCGGCTATAGGGTTGCTTTTTAGATATCCTGCATATCAGATATTTATATTACAATTTTTAGCAGTAGCAAAATACAGTTATGAAGTAACAGTGAAGAAAATGTTATGGCTGTGGGTCCCCACACCACGAGGAGCTGTGTTACAGGGTCCGAGCATTAGGAAGGCTGGGAACCACTGCCTTAGAGGCTGAGAGAGTAAAAAGCCACTTTATACTGGGACAAAAACAAAAGCCACAACCAGCTGGTCCCACTGCGCTGATCCCAGCGTGCTGTTTTTGCTCAGGACTGGACCTCTTCAGAATCCTTCGCAGCCTGTCACTCAGGAGTCCTTCCTAGAGCACCCCACCCAAGCTTTTCCACTCTCTGCCTAACTCTTCCAGGAGCAGAAATTCACTTTATACGTCACGTCTTAGACTCTCCACCTTCCTAACACCATGACCCTTCCATACAGCTCCTCATGCTGTGGTGATCCCACTCACAGAATTATTTTGCTGCTACTTCATAACTGTAATTTTGCTACTGTTATGAATCATAGTGTAAATATCTGATGTGCAGGATCTCTGACATGCAGCCCCCTAAGCAGCCAGACCCCGGGCTGAGAACCACTGTCCTAGCTCATTGGTAGTCAACTCTGCCGCCTTGTGTGCAAATGGTCTCTACTTCACCATAGGCGCTGGCACTAGGTCTTCCTTTTGGAAAATGCTGAGCTTGTCCTTTATTCTGTATAAAAAACCTTTGTATTGATTTTCAGACCATCCACCTTCTAGCCTAATGTAGATTTTCATAAAATCTGACACCCCCAACTCAGTTCCTCGTGCATGCCGTGGTTCCTTGTGACCCACCATTCTCTCTTTTGATAGGAACATTTGTCTCAGTGCCTGTTAATGAAGCTAATTGCATGAACTCTGTCATACGATAGGCTCATGCTGAGTCTTCTGTAGCAAGGTTTCTTGCAGCCTGCTTCATCTCTCACCGTGGCCTCTGCTCTCCAGTGTTTGTGTGACTGAATTCCTGCAGGAGCTCCTTTCTGTTGCTCTTCCTATGTCTCAACTTTTTGGTTCAATTTGTACATTAGGAGTTATGTCTAACTTTGAGTGTCATCTGTCACTTATTATTATTTCTGTTCCAAAGTTATTTACACATGCCATTTGTTAGGAGAAGAGAGGAGCTGATGGCATGTTGTGGGGGCAGGGCAGCTTACATGTTCATGTGTGCTTCTGGGCGCTGGGCTCAGCTCTCTTCTCCACACGTGTTTATATGACAGGTGCCTCAGGCAGGAACCCTGCAGTTATCCCACCTGAAGGAAGGGGCGTATGTCTTCCAGCTGACGGTGACCGACTCAGTGGGTCAGAGAAGCTCCGATAATGTATCTGTGACCGTCCTTCCCAGGGTCTACTCCACTGGAGGTGAGAAGAAAGTCCTTCCATTGAGTTTCCCAAGGCCAGCCAAAACCCAGATGTTCATAGAAGGATGGTGCCAATGGGATTTTACACCCTGGTGACACGTTTCAGGGGCTCTTCCACCTCATTTCTTGTGCTTGAAGTCTGCTAAAAATATAATAGCTCAGGCTGGAGAGATGGCTAAAGGGTTAAGAGCACTGGCAGTTCTTCCAAAGATCCATTTCAATTCCCAGCAACCACATAGTGGCTTACAACCATCTATAGTAAGATCTGGTGCGCTCTTCTGGTGTGCAGGCACAAATGCACAGGAAGCATGCTGTATGAATAATAAATAAATATTTTAAAAATATAACAGCTCTATATTTAGCACAATTGGGACCTACTGGTTAGAGTGTGAAGAACATTCTCAGAGCATAGACCATGAGCTAGTGGGTCCTGGGTGCTTACCTTCTGCCTTTCCTCTTTGACCTTGTTAAAGACAGCGTCTGGCTTTCCTAGGAGAGGATTTTGTCTTTAAAAAAAAAAAAAAAGGGGGGGTGTCTTTCTGACATGTGTGTTTGAAATGTACAACTGAAGACTAGTTTAAACAGTCCAGCCAATGGAAACAGAGGGTACAATGGTGGTTACTGAAGCTGGGTTCATTATGTAGGAAATGCTTGCCAAAATTCCTGTTAAATAGAAGGAAAGTTTTAGGGACCTCTACTTTATAGCATGGTGACTCTGGCTGAAAGTAATGGATATTCCAAAATTGCCAGAAGACTGGGCTTAAATGTTTGACTATTCTTACTATAACAAAATTAGTAGGCAAGGTGATAGACTTATTAATTGACTTGATCTAGTCAGTAGTAAAAATATGCATATGTATATACATATATGTATATAATACATACATTAAAACATACCATTATATACCATATATCTATACAATATTATTGTACATCAACTAAAAATAAAATATGGAGTTCGGGGAGGAAGGCCATATGATAGGATAGAAGGGAGACTTGACTCTATCAATAGTTGACATGATAAATCATGAGAAAGAAAAATGTGTAGTTAATGGGTAGAGTTAGACTGAAATATGCAAGGTGTGTGAGTCAGGTGAAATCCCTACTCAAAAGTTTCATAGAATCCGGTGTGGTAGCACACACCTTTAATCAAAGCATTCAGGAGGCAGAGGCAGGCAGATCTTTATGAGTTTGAGGCCAGCCTGGTCTACAGGGCAAGTTCCAGGCCAGCCAGGGCTAAACAGAGAAACCCTGTCTCAAAAAGTTAACAACAACAAAGGAATCAGTGTGGTGCTCTTCCTACCTGATCACTCACTGGGGGCATAGACAGGTGTTTCTGTCTTCTTTAATACATACACACACACGCGCGCGCGCGCACACACACGCACACACACAGTATAACCTGGTTCAGTTTTTAGTATATTGACATTTCTAACACCTTCTGAATGCTTGGGGACCCATCTTTTCAGGTAGCAGGCGAGAGAACACCTCAATATGAACTAGAATACTGGTTTCAAATAGGGACAAACACCACTGGACACTGAAGACATTTTTAGGGTGGGAAATTAAGGCACTTTATCTTTTATTTTTATTCATTGTCAATCTTCTGGAAATTGTCATCCTATTTAATAAGGCCTTCTATCCTCTGTGCATGTGTGTTCGTGCAGCGTGAGTGCCTGTCCACGCACATGCATGTGTGAAGGTCAGAGGACACTTGCGGGGAGCTGTTTCTCTTTCCAGCGCATGGGCTCCTGGAGCTGCCCTCACGTTTTCAGGCTGCGCCTTCTCCCACTGGCACGGCTTGCAACCTCTCTTAGGCGGCTCAGAACCCGAGCGCATGCGCATTATTTATGGGTAGATTTGAGATGTGTTTACCAAGACCCTTAAGAAGCAGTAAAGTGTGGATGCAGCCCCAGCTCCAGCACTACACCTGGAAGGAGAGCCCTGCACGCAGGGGTTTTCCATTGCTAGTCTAAGGGCTTGGTGATGATCAGCCCCTGCACTTCCGTTTGCTCCCCCTGCTGGCTGTCCCTGACTCTGCAGGCCCAAACTTGAGAGCTCTGCCTCCACCCTTCGGCATTATTTCTGTTCTTTACTTTCTTCCTCTTTTGGGATCAAGCTCTTTTCCAGTCACCTTGCACCCAGATAGACTCACTTTCTAGTCTCTAGTTGATAGCTTTCCAATAAAACAAGTGCTAGATTCCATTTGTGCACATCGACTGTGCTTAGCTTTTGCTGTTAGTGGAACATCGTATGATTTGACACTCGTGTTCCTGAAGGGGCAACTTAGTTCACCCTGCCGCCTCACATTGTAGGTCACCTTAAGACTTGCTTCTAGCTAGATCCCTTATATCTTTCACCTGAGAGTTACCTCTTTTTAATATATACTATTAGATTTATTTGGCTTCGATTTTTATGTGCACTGGTGTTTTGCCCGTGTATGTGCCTGTGTGAAGGTGTCGGACCCCTGGAACTGGAGCTACAGACAGTCCCAGGGGGGAAATGCCACTGTTTTCCAAAATATATTCACACCAGCCAGTGGCTACAGATTGTCCTCTGCAACAATCTGGTTGTTTACGTGTAGGAGTCAACCTCAGAAAGGTAATCTCAGTTTAAAAAAAAAAAGTCTTACTTAGAAAAAAAGAGTTTGCTGGGTGGTGGTGGTACACGCCTTTAGTCCCAGCACTCAGGAGGCAGAGGCAGGCGGATCGCTGTGAGTTCAGGGCCAGCCTGGCCTACAGAGCTAGTTCCAGGTCAGCCTGTGTCAGGAAACCTGTCTCAAAAAAACAAAAAGAAAGAAAAAGGACAAAAAGAATTCAAGACACAGAATATGTAAAATGATGTCGCTGCTACTGAAGCATGGTCGCCAAAGGTCTGGGATGCTCTCGGCTGGGAAGGAGGCCCCGCGATGGGTGGACGAGTAGATGTAAACTGAGCAGGGAACCAGGGCAACAAAGGCTTAGAGAACGACTTTCAAGAGCTCTGGGGCAGCCTTGAGAGTTCAGTGAGGGCGTGAGAGAGGGACCCTCGACCCTGTTGCTCCCGTTCTGTTATGTCCTCGTTATCACCGTCACTTCACCCTGCTTTGTGTTCCCTCCCCAGTCATCTTGGGGGGATGCTAACTTGCCCTGCATCCCCGTGACCTGAGACTTGTTCACAAACAGGATGCTCCAGCGCTTGCTCTCGCTACCATTTCTTCTGTGACAGTGGTTGCTGCATCGACATCGCCTGGGCCTGTGATGGAGTGAGGCAGTGTCCAGACGGCTCTGACGAGGACTTCTGTCAAAACTGTGAGTCAGGTGCATGGTCTTGGCAGGCAGGAATCTGGAAGGGGTGGCACAGGCCTGTCAGGGTTCTTGGGATAAAATGGGAAATGAATTCTTTCATTGCTTGTTTCAAAAATAATTTCCTGTGGGGGGAAAAAATGTATGCTTGAAAACTTACTGAGGCTAAGTCTGAGTTGCAGACGATGTTTGGCATTGCATGTGATTTTTTTCAATTTTCCAAAGGTTTTTCTTATTTTTAAAATATTGCATAACATACACTTTTAAAAACCTCAAAGAGGGCTGGCAAGATAACAGTTTTGAATAAAGGCTCTTGCTGAAGCCTGATGATCTGAATTCTATCCCCAGGTTCCACATGGTGGGAAGAGAGAATCAGGTCTCACAAGTTGTCCTCTGATCTCCAGAGTGCAATACAGTTAAAACAAAAACTGAAGTATTTTTCCTTGATGACTGTGTGTGTGTGTGTGTGTGTGTGTGTGTGTGTGTGTGTGTGATACAGTCTTGCCACGTAGCCCAGGCTGACCTCACATTCACAGTCCTCTAGCCTTAGCCTTCCAAATTCTAGGATTATAAGAATTGGCTCATACCACACTTGGTATTGCTTTTACACTTTTGAGGACTGCTTAAGACACATTGGGGTATGGCTAAGTTTGACCTACCAATCAGTTTTGTAAAGCCATTTACTTGAAAGTGAACCATAAGAAAGAAGAGCTAGAGTTGGGTGTAGGGGCTCATGCCTTTAATCATAGCACTTGGGAGGCAGAGACAGGCAGATCTCTGAGTTCAAGGCCAGCCTGGTCTACAGAGTGAGTTCCAGACCAGCCAGGGTCACACAGAAAAACCCTATCTTGGAAAAAAAAAAAAAAGAAAGAAAGGCAGGAAGGAAGGAAAAGAAAAGAAAGAAGAGCTTTAGAAAATAACTCAATAAAGTGCTGATGTAAGGAAGAAAGGAAAAAAAAAAAGGTTTAACCCCCATTGCTACCCAAGTAGAGAGATTGAAAAAAGAAACAACCTACGGTTGAATTTCTCCTTGTCCGTGTTAGGAAAGCAACGGGAAGACGAAAGAACACGGTGCACATTTCAAAGCTAAACCGTAGGTTTTTATTGGGTCCCGCATGTTCTGGCTGAGTAGGATATTAGTCTCAAATACCCATGACTTTAATTCACTGCAGACAGCAGTTTTTAGTTGACGTTCAGAAGAGAAATCAAAGGCTGAGGTGACGGTTCTTCAGCATCCGTGTGAAAAGGCAGGTGTGGCAGGGCAGGTGGTGGGTGGCAGGGCCCAGGTTCTAAGAAGGCAGACAAGAGGGTCCTGGAAGCCTGCTGGTCAGCCAGCCTAGCCCACCCGGTGCATTCCGGCTTCTAGGCCAGTAAGAGGCTGTCTCAGAAACAGAGGTGGATGGCAGCTGAGGGACAGCAGGGCTGACCTCTGGTTGCTCGAGCACACACACGTGCACACACATGCACACACACGCACACACACATGCAAAAAAGAAAGGGAGGAAAGAGAGCGAGAGGGAGGAATCTATGTAACTGAGTTCTTCCACAGTGGGCCTTGACCGCAAGATGGCGACACACACAGTGGCTGCTTCTGCCCAGCCGGGAACCACAAGACTGACTGAAGGTGGAGGAGACCCCTGGGTGGAAAAATCCCAGAAAGCTCCTGCGCACAACCAACCAGCTACCCTGTCCCACACGGAGAAGAGGGTTCACTCCACCCAGAGGGTCCCAGAGAGCCACATCATCCCTGTCAAGCCAGGTGAGCCTCAACGCGAGTTCTCCGTGATTAGTCTTCCTTTTCTGATGTCACTGTGACTCAAAGTTATAGTTTATGCCTGAAGACCATGAGGGAAATGTACTCCAAATATGGAATGATGTAAATTGGAATGAAGAGTTTGGCCAAACAAAACAACCCTGACATTTGAGCTAATTACAGTTTAGGAGCTCTAGAGTCATAGATATGTGGAAGAGTATTTGTCCTAAACCCAGGGGCCTTGATTTGATCCTTAGCACTGAAAAGAAACAAAATGTTGATTTATGGAAAGGAATGCCTAGCAAAACCAGTCTTCCCTTGGTGTTCCCCCAAAAAACGGTTCCAGGACCTGTGAAAACCAAAGTTTCAAGCTGCTCAAATCCCAACTATAACAGTACTTTATACAGCGCAGCAACAGAGTGCGGTGAGTGCAGGTACTTACGGCAGAACCTCACAACTGATTCCAGGCCACGGGGTGGGAGGCGAGAACAGAGGCCTGCAGGTCGTGCTCTGACCGCCACACATGGGCCATGGCATGCATGCATGCCCCTCCCACATACATACAAGGTAAAAAAAGAACAGCACTCTACTTGTATGTGACCTACATGTATTTCCCTGTACTGGAACCACCTCCAAATTACATGAAATTCCTTATGTAATCTAAGTACTAAATAGCTAATTCTTATACTGTATTTTTAGGGACCAGTGACAAGAAAAGGAATCTCTATATGTGCTCAATACAGGCACCATCTTTTGTGTGTGCTAAGAATTAAACTCAGCTTTATACATGCAGAACGAACTGAACCAGTGACATACTCCCTCAGCCTCAGACACAGTTTTTAAAGGTCATCTAGGGCATGTGTAAATGTTTGGTTACACGGTGAATGTGCGCCCAGAGTTCCCTGAGCCCCCGTCATTTGGGAGTACCGAGCTCCAGTGTGGCTGGGGTCTGCTAGGCGCCTCAAGGAACAATGGCCGATTGTCACTGAAGGCGATTGCAGCCGCAGGTCCTGTCCTGTGTGGGCCGAGTCGCTCATTAGCAAGGCTGTCTCCCTGTATCCGTTCTAGCTGCAGGAAGGAAATCTGGTCTCCAGGCCTGCAGAGTGGCATAAACGAGCGCTGCGTGCCCGTTGACGTGACTCTAGTTTTTGGGAACTTAAGAATTCATGGGTATCACAACAGATCAACAAAGCCCTTCAAGGAACTGGGATGAAACTTGTACAAAAAAAAAAAAAAAAAACATTTTCTGCACACAGGTGTGACAATCTTCCTCTACTAACTGTGCCAAGCCTCCCGCCATAGCTCGTCTTTGGGTAACTGTTATATCAAAGGCATTTGTTTTCAGGACTTTTTTTTTTTTTTTACTTGTTCATTTATATAACACCTGGGTGGAAGGAGAAAGGGGAGAAAGGGGAACCAGCTCAGCAGCCAGGAGGCCAAAGGTACAAAAAGGATACTTGCTACTCTTCAAGACTTGTTTTGGACTGGACTGAGAAATAAAAGCTCTAGTGAGAACAGCCTACACCTCTTGGCAATCTGTCCTGGCATTTTTCTTTGGCTTCCTCATGCTCTTGGCCATAAGTTTAGCCTATCTGCAGCCTCCTCCAGGCTTTTCTTAGTGCGTTGTTCCTTCAGAGGAATACATCAGAGTCTGAGTTGCAGGACATGTGGAAAATAGATGCTAAGTCTTGGTGCTTTGGTTCTGGGATTCTTACCTTCTTTGTTGAAGGGATTTTTGACAACATTATTGGTAGACATCATCTTCTTGAGAGAGACTGAAAACCTTCGGGTTCTACTAGCTCTTTTGAGCAGCAAACACTGAGGCACAATCGTGTCTGCCCATCCAGGAATATCTCTCCTCCCTTTTTTTAAAGCAATAACCAGAAATACAAGTTGGGAACACCCAACCTGTGGGCATCCATGCACCCCTAAACAGACTTGCATTTCCTCTGTCCAGTTCTCCTTGGTCTGGAAGGAGATTGCCCCTCACTCAACAGCAGGCGCATTCTCACGGGCCAAGACAGCTTGCTCCATGGGGAAATCATGTTTGTCATTCCACCACGAGTCAGACCACATGGCCCTTCCGCTCTCCACCCAGCATCGTCACTACTTCCCATAGAGAGCGACACTTGTGTTCTTCGTCCACTTGGATGAGTTCTGACAGCCAGTGGCGGGGAAGGAGAGTCAGCTTCACCCTGAAATGGCCGACCTCCTAGGAGGTGCCACAGGAAAGGAGTCCAAGACTTGTTTTTAAAGGTTTCCCTCTTCATGTTCTCATCTAGACTTCTCACATTTTGCATTATGGGGGAACTGTTAAGAATCTATCTATCACAGTTCTTGGAAGGTAGTTTGGATGTATGGAAATGTGATCTATGGAAGAGCTGTAAGAGCTTGTGCCCTTCCAAGATGGCACCAGGGATCTAATAAATACGTAGTGTGAGGAGGTTTATCTATCCTGTACTCCAAGAATGCAATGTTGGAATGCCCTCTTACAGATATGCGCCCTTTAGCGGGACACTACAGACACGACTCCACCCCGGGAAGTGAGTTTCCATCAGATAGGTGTTGCTGTTCCGGCATTGCCAGAATGTAATCCTGCTCCCCACCCTCTTCCCTGCCTTCTGAGAATAAGAGAGCCCAGATCGAGGCTCTCGCTGTCAGGCCTCCCTGCCTTAAGGAGTCAGAAGAGTCTCTTCAGCTCCCCCACCGTATGATCTGTCTCTGGAATTGGAGACTAACGTTTCCTTGAAACGCTTGCCCTCTGCCTGCCTGTCCCTAATGCTACTAACTCCCCTAGGAAACTCCTTGGTCTTCAATAATCTATCTCGGTGCTCTCTTGAACCAGCTACCGCCCCCCAGCTCCCCACCTTTCCCACCCCCCTGGGCACAAGGAGAGATGGTGATCTTAGAACACCTATAGGAAACTATTTGAATATTCATGAGCAGTGATGGGGGGGTTCTAGGAAGGTAAGCCAGGCAGAGCCTTGTGCGCTCTAACATAGCTCTGGGGACCCCACTGTGTCCCCCTCTCCCACCCCAGAAGTCTTATTTGCCCAGCAGAGTCGCCATCTTTACTCCATCAGTGTAAAAAATGATAATCAACTTAAGGTTGTTCAAATTACTGCCAGACCATTTGGAGAGGGCCTTTTTAAAGCTTATCGGTACCTCAGTATGAGAATGAATCAGGGGTGCTAGGAAATAGCTCAGTGGTAGGACACAAGCCTAAAGTGCTCTGCGAACCCCTGAATTCTATATTTACTGTGTCACATGGAAACCTTCTTCCAGAGTTTTACTGTGCTTAAATGTGTAAGAAGAATAAACCACAAGATCAGACTCTAGAGGTTTTGACTGAGCTCCTGAAGTGATCCTGACCAAGTTTCATTCTTCACCTCTGTTGTTTTATAGAAAGTCCCAGTCATTCTATTTTACCAGTAGGCTCAGGAGCCAGATGCAGGGGTGAAAGCCTACTTTGTCTACTCAGAGAGGCAGAGAAAGCACCCAGCCGACCTTCCTCCTCAGCTGAGATCCCCGAGGGAGAAGGGTTTCTCCTTCTCCACACTGTCTGACCACCCTCAACTTAATGTCCCTCCTTTCTAATTACTCCCTGTCAGCTGCTTGCTCTGCCTCTTGCCTTATGATTGACTTTATTTAGCTCTTGGATTAAAGGTGTGTGCTAGAGCTGAGCCTAACCTCAAGTTTATAGTAAACAGAGAGATAGAGGATGAAAAACTGAGCCATGCCTCAGTTAGAAACAGGTTTTTCCAGTTCACAATCTCAGGGTTCACAATGTGATCAAATACCCTGCACCACACTTCATGTAGGATCCCATGAGACAGCCATCTTCCTTTGTGCTGGAATCAAAAGCATGAGCCACCATGCCCAACTGGCCTATGTTCACTTAAAAATAAATCCTCCCACTCCTTTCTCTACATCCAGTTTTTTAAAAAGTAAATAAGGACTAGAAAGGATAATTAGTGGTTAACTATAGGGCCTAAGTCTGGTTCCCAGACCCACATCAGGCGATTCATAAATGGCCTCTCTGGGTACCAACATACAGGTCATACACTGAGACAGACAGACATAGCCCTAAATTATAAAGTAAGTAAAACTAAGTCCATGCCTACTTCCTGAAGTCTTCAATTTCCCTTTAACATATATATCTGTTTACTTCCCACAGACAGTAATTCCTCAGGAAAGAACCAAGAAGATGGAAATTACATTTTCAAGTCCAAGAGCGAGCAAGTGCGAGGGGAGCACCCAGCCCCAGAAGCAGGTCAGTGTAAGCGCCCTACAGGTCACTTGGAAACACTAGGGAGCAGTGAGGCGCCGGGAGCACCTGAGCCCTTGCTGGATGTCATGTTGAAGGGCACCCGTCTACCAGCACTGTCTTCTCATCTTCAAGGCCACAGTGCGTCATGGTGCCCTTGACACTAGCCTACTATTCTTGTTCTCACATTATCTCACATTCCCTTCCGCGGTCCCTCTGTGGGGAAAGTCACATTGTGACATAGGGTGTTATACAGGCACCAATGTCTTCAAGTGCTGGACTTGAAGGAACAATGCTTTGCCTGGCGGGTGGGGATCACTGTCTCTGATACAGCTCTTCTAATGCCCTTTCAGCTCCCAGTGATCCAGCAGCCCTTTACTGGGGGAGAGGGGTAATGGCCCTTTATTGTAGGGAAGAGGGTAGGAGCTTTTGGGTGAGTGAACATCACTTCCTGGGGACAAGGTGCTGGAAATGCTTCATCTGCATGGAGAGGAATTCTGGTGCTAGGCTGCATGCTACCTGGAGAACGTTAAGGATGAGGGCCACAAGGCTATGAGCACCAAGGCATGCAGGGACGGAACAGGGAACAGAGAGGGAAGCATCCTTACTCCTGCTGGTCTCAAGATGTGAGATTTTCGGGGTTTGGACACGTCTCTAGCTCCATGCTGGTTTCCCTGGTGGCATAGTCCATATGCCCCACGACAGAAGTTAAGAATATGGGCTCAACTAGGCACAGTGGCAAACACCATTAATACCTGTACTCAGGAGGCAGATCTCTGAGTACAAGGCCAGCCTGGTCTACAGAGTGAGCTCCAGGACAGCCAGGGCCACAGTTCGAATTCTGGCTCTGCCACTCAACTCAGGTTCCTGTCTCTGGGTCCCAGTGACTTCAGCAGGAAGGCACTTCACCGGACGGCTGTGGAACGTTGAGAGTATAGTACGTGGTTTGGTTAGGAATGGTGGCTGCTAGGACAGAGCTGTGTGTGAGGGAGAAGAGTGAGGAGGAGGCTCTGTTCTTGCTGGCAGCACATGACAGGGATGTGCAGAGAACTGGCGGCAGGTAGGCCGGCGGCACTTGGAGGTACAGCTCCATCCCCAGGAGACACACTGACAGTCCCGTAGGAAAGAAAGGCTTTAGTCCTGAATCCTGCACATGAAACCACCAAGCAGACCCAGCAGAACAGAGCACAACTCCTAAATCACCCATCTCCACATGGACAAAGCTGTCTTTTTGCCCTAGTATTTGAACAACATTGCTCATCTCCTTTTATAGCTGGACAGTACCAAAATAGTGTTTGAACAGCTGATGTCTGGGCCCCATTGCATTTGCCTTGTCTTGGGATGTTAGGCTAAAACTCACCATAACCTATCAGCAGTGGGGCCCATGGCCACGTGTCTCAGAGCTCAGTTCTAACTCACTGCTGCTCATTCTAGTTGCTTAGATGCCTTGACCATCATTCCCATTCATAGAAGCAGAATATTTCATCAACTTAGCTTTTTTTTTTTTAAGAGAGAGTTAGAATTTATTAAGACATCTTAATACACATTTAAGCGCGGGTATCAGTAAGAGAGATGTCACGTTAGCTGGTCACTGACAATTCTATCACTGTGTTTTAGAAGTTGTTTAGGGAAAAAAGAATTTCAAATTACCCAAACTGAAACTATGGAAGAGCCAGGCGGTAGTGGTGCACATCTTTAATCCTCGTACTTGAGAGGCAGAGGCAGGAGTTTGAGGCCAGCCTGGTCTTCAGAGTGAGTTCCAACGTTCTAAAACATCTAAGGCTACACAGAGAAACCCTGTCTAAAAAAAAGAAAGAAAATATGGAAATATGTTCTCTAAGGACTAAACAGCAACAAATAAAAGGCGTGGAGGAACATGCCTGTGACTCCTGACGATTGCAGCCGTGCGGCTCACAAGTATGAGCCCAGCATGGACTCAGAAGCAAAATCCTGTTTCAAAGAAATCAGAGGCCGGGAAATGGTCCAGTCAGGAAGGTGCCACCACACAAGAACCTGGACCTCAGCAGGATGGCTCTGTGGCAACCACGGGGGAGCAGGGCACAGTCACACAGATATGGAACCCAGCCCTCGGAAGATGGAGATGGGTGCGTCCCTGGAGCTCACGGGGGCCCTAGGTTCAATGAGACACCTTGTCTCAAAAGATGAGATGAGATGATAAAGATAGTCCGTGTCCTCTGGCCTCCACAGATATGTATATTCACCTGCAAGTGTGCGCGCACACACACACACACACACACCCCACATAGATCACACACACACACACTCACACACACATACCCCACATAGATCACACACACACACACACTCACACACTCACACACACACACCCCACATAGATCACACACTCACACACACACACCCCACATAGATCACACACACACACACACACACTCACACACTCACACACACTCACACCCCCCACATAGATCACACACACACACTCAACACACACTCACACACACTCACACACACACACACACCCCACATAGATCTAACCAGTAAAGAAGCCGGACAAGGTGGCCGTGTAGCACCAGTACTCAGGAAGCTGAGACGGGAAGGCTGCCGCCAAGTAAAGGCTAGCTCGGGCTACACAGCGAGCTCCCAGGGCTATGGAGTGAGACTTTCTCAAAAATTAAAAGGTGGGCAGCCACAAGGAGATGGCTCTGTCGTAAAGTGTCTGCTGTCTAAGCATGAGTGCCAGGGAAAAGCCCAGAGGTGGTGGCATCTGCCTGTCACACGAGCACACTGTGGTAGAGACAGGAGGATCCCAGGGGCCCACTGGCCGGCCAGTATAGCTAGGTGAGCTCCAGGTTCAGAGAGAGCCTGTCTCAGAAAACAGGATGGAGAGCAACTGAAGACACCCAGCATCAACCTCTGCGTACACACACACACACACACACACACACCCGCACACACACATACAAGTGCACATACATACAATTTAGAAAGAATAAGTTTCAGTATTCTGCCAAGTAGTACAGTATAGGTATGTGTGTGTGTAAGAGAGAGAGAGCCTTAAACAAAAATTAGCAACCTCACACTTGATTCGTTAAATAGAAATTTTCATGAATTTAATCTGTTTTGTCACCCTAGGTGAGCCTGAGTCACAGGGTTAGGACTGAGATTGAGATGTCCACTCAAAATTTGCTTTCTGCCTTTAGCCGAAACACTGGATTCATCTTTGATCAATCCAGACTCTGGCTAAGGACCTTCCGTGGACAGGCTGTTGTATTCCATGCTGAAGTGATTAGGGGTCTCTGAGCTCCTGTAGGGAGGAGAACTAAGTGTCTTTGTCTTGGTCCTGACACTTGCAGGCTGCTTAACCCTTTGAAAACTTTTCCATCATGAAGACTCCAGTAGCCAGGCATGGCTGCTTAAAGCCCCAGATCCCCAGATGCTCCCAGATGCAGAGCTGTGGGTGTGAGATGATTGTGTGTGAGATGATTCTAGAACTGCTTTCTAAGCTGTACATTTGCTGCAGGTTTCCTTACCCTAAAACTTGATGCCCAGAGGACTAAAGCAACTTCCACATCCCCTCCTTATGCTCTAGATACAGGACTGTCTTGGTATTCTGATCCTGACTTGGAGTTTGAAAAGACCTTTAGTATGAAATCAGCTCCAGGTCATGTCAAGATAAGGCCAGCTATACCTGCAGCGAGCTTTAAGGCTGTCTGAGGAAAACTACCCCGCTACCTACCCTCAAACAGTCCCACCTTCTCCCATTTTCCCCCTCCTTCCTCTTCTACCCCTCAGAAAAGGGGAGCTCCTCCCCAACCAGCACATGGAGTCACATCAGGACTGAGCACATCCTCTTCCTGGCGACCTGGCGAGGCAGCCAGCCCCTCCAGGGAGAAGTGATAAAAAAGCGTGCAACAGGGTCCTTATCAGAGACAGCCCCACTCCCCTTACTGGGGCTGCCACATGAAGACCAAGCGTGCAACAGGGTCCTTATCAGAGGCAGCCCCACTCCCCTTACTGGGGCTGCCACATGAAGACCAAGCTGCGCATCTTTCTGGGTAGGGGGCCTACGTCCAGTCTACACATGGTCCTTGGTTGGTGCTTCAGTCTCCACAAGCCCCACTGGGCCCAGGTTAGTTGGCTCTATTGGTCTTCTTGGAGAATTCCTGTCCCCTCCAGGTCTTTCTATTCCCCCCGCCCCCCACTCTTCCAAAAGGTTCCCGGCTTGATGTAGCCATTTCCTCAGCTGCATTCGTCATCATCTGCTAGTATCCCTCTCTCTACTGGTTCATATCATCTGTGGCTGCAAGCAATCAGGTCTGAGCACAAAAAAAGAAACTAGTCCAGAGTCCTGTAAATAAATTTCTATTTGCTAATACAGTGGGCTCTCCAGGCGCCACCCTGAGCCCTTCAGAGCATCCCTTTTACCGGAGCCACTCTCTGTGATTCTTTTCTGTCTGTCTTCTGACCCTTGCCCTTTGGCGCTTGTTCCTGTTGCTTCTTCCTATCTCTTGATCTCACTTTCATTCACTACCGTTAACTGCTTCTGCGTATCTATACGAGATAATCAAGAGCCTCAGGGAACCCTGGATCCCTACAGCAGTGATTCTCAGCATGTTGAAAAAAAGAGTAGCCTAAGGCCATTGGAAATAGGTGAGACGGTTCCTCTGGCCATCTCCAGGCTGCTCTACCCACATAGATACTCAGAACTGTATTAAAGGGTCACAGCATTAGGAAGGTTGGAGACCACTGCCTTCTAGTATACACATAGATTCAAGAACAAACATATGTAACAAACTTATCTTCCTCCCTCCCCCAAACTGAGCTCCCCCATGAGATCAAATCACTCTAGCAAAAACCTTACCAGCCAGACACTTCTTCCCATTAGATTTTAAACACAACTCTTGTCTTTGTAACAATATTTCACTGCAGTCTTTTTAGTAAATGCCTGTCTACACAGATTTAGATTATTCAGATATGTTCTCATGTCCATCTCAAAGCAATGAGCACCAAAGGACCAGACCACAGGCTTGTACAGCGCTGGATGCCTCGGTTCCCATCGTTTGTAAAATGAGTGCCGTGCACCGGCTCACGTGGTTGTGAGCAGTTATTTCAGCTCTGAAGCTGGCACTTAGTATTTAGCTTATCCTTGGGGCTGGGCATTTTTGTGAGTAACAAATAAAAAACTGCTTACTTTGATTACTAGCACTTAGGCTAGATTGGCACATGGAAAGCTATTAATCAAAATATAGTGAGTAAACAAAGTGAAATGTCTCAGAATCTAGCTACACATGGAGACGCTGGCTCCTCCAGTTTGTCCAGCTGCAAGAAGGCGCAATTAAAAACAGCCTCACTATCTCATCACAGACCTGGCCCCACTTCAGCGTAGAGGAGACTAAGAATAGAGGCTGCCGAGCTTGACTGGAGGCAGAGGTACCTTGCCTCATCCAGACTCTGGGAAACTATAGCTCCTCTGGTCTGCCACCCACGACCCAAAGGAAGGCCAAAGTTACACCAGCATATTTTTCAATGTTACTTTTAATTTGAAGTTAACTTTCAATAAATGCTCTAGTATAGGACAGTAGAACCTCTGGATTTAAAAAATGAAAAAAAAATTATTTTGATATATGGGTGTCTTGTCTGTCTGTATGTCTATGTACCACATGAATGCCTGGTGCCTGTGGAGGTCAGAAGAGGTCATCAGAACCTCTGGAACTAGAGTTACAGATGATTGTGAGCTGCCATGTGTGTGCTGGGAATTGAAGTTGGGAACTCTGCGAGAGCAACACATGCTCTTAACCATGGAACCACCTCTGAAGCCCTGGAAATGAATATCCTAAACTCTACAAGAACCAGAAATTAGGAGTTAGACCATAGCTAATGAGAAGATGATTATGTTGAAATCCATAAATGTCATGTATGACTAATAATGAAAACATTTCTCATGGTTATAGTCTCTAGGCTATCCAATGAGATAAGGGATAAGATGATCTTACTGCACATTTTTTAAGAACCTGCTAGAGAGTTTAGTTTTTAAGAGGTCTGGGTTTAAGACTAGACCTACAATACATAAGCACACAGGGGAACTGACCTCTCCGCGCCTTTATCAGAGGACCAGCAGTAAGAATGGCATCGAAGGGCGCTATTCAGAGGGGGTAAAATAGTGCATGCCAAGCGCTCAGCATATAGTCGGCAGTAGCTCAGCGTTGCCAACCACTGACCAGCGCCTTTCTTTCCCACCTTACACAGGTGCAGTGCTACCCCTGGCACTGGGTCTGGTCATCACTGCTTTGTTACTTCTCATGGTGATGTGCCGACTTCGCCTGGTGAAGCAGAGACTGAAGAAAGCGCGTCCCATTACATCCGAGGAATCCGACTACCTCATCAATGGGATGTATCTGTAACAAAGCTATTTAAACAGCGGGGGGCGAGGACGGGCATCTCAACTTGTTCTTTGGTTCTATCACTAAGACCTTTTGTTTTCAATTGTGCTAGAAGACACTACAATCACAAGCCTTGTTTTATCGTAAAATCATTGTCCTGGGAAGTAAAATGTCTTAAAAGGTAGAAAGGAATTCGTGAGACTGAGTTTGTAGCTTGCTGAGAAAGTCAGTACGCCATGGTGACAGGCGGCAGGCCTGCCTTCATTCATTTGGCAGGTGCCAACCGCCGGCCCCAGCAGCGTCCCTTTGTCTTCTGGCCCTCTTCTCCACTGAGTTCCCATGAGCTCCATTTTCTTTTCTTCTGCCAAATCTCTCTGAAAAGGGATCGTAAGTGAATTTACACTCAGTGAGCTGTCCCCGATGATGGCAGGTCTGGACGTTGTCAGCATTCTCAGAAGGTCAGCAGAGTCTCCCAGGGAGAGGGACTCTGATGCTTCTAACCTCAGACTGAGGTGGCGGCTGCCACATTAGGCTGGCCTTGGATGAACTCCTTTTGGTTTGGTGCGGCTCTAGGTGGCAGAATAAGGGGGCAGCAGGGGACCTGGCAGGCAAAGGCAAACAGAAGCGTAGTCGAGGGATAAGTGAGGACAATCCGCTCAATGCTGTGTCATGGTGTGGAGCAGTGACTGCTTTACGTATGCACTGTTTTCAACATGAGCCTTTCTGATAAAAATGCGAATTAGCAATCAAAACATTGATGTCTGGGTATGCTGCTTGTAAAAATGCCACCATGTTCAAGTATCACAGGCTGCTCAATGGGCTGAGCCAGACCCTTCCCTTTGTGTGTTTTGCAGAGCTGGAGGTGAGACCCAGGAGCCTGTTTGTACCAGGCAGGTGCTCTACCACTGAGCTACATCTGCCCTCACCATCCTTTATGTTATTAAAATGTTATAACATACAATCAGCTAATGTCAGGATGTATTTGCAGAGCAGAATATACTTGCACAAATTCACCTTTATGGGAAACGAGCATCCCGCTTAGCATCTTTAAGTTTGTAAGGAGAAAAGGCAGATTCTTCCATCACCACTCAGTGGTTGAACACAGAAGCTGCTCTGAGGGAAGTGCAGTGTGGTGCCCATTTTTATTAACATTGTTTCTATTTTCTTTATTGTAAGTGTAACATCACAAAACACAGTAGTCTTTTTAGACTGAACTTAAAGTAGTAGTTCCTTTAACAAGGGGAGCGCATTTTGGGGAGCGCATATAACCTATCAAAACATAGTAATAAATGGGTAGTTCTAGAAAAGCAAAATGTTTGCTTTTGTCTCTTGAGACCCTATCTCTAGCCTTTTGCTGTTTAGAGCTGAGCAATGGTGTAGATGTTACAGTGGCAGTCTGTGAGATGAGCTGAGTGAATGAACTTACCTGCACTCTGATGCCGTGCGGCTCATTTCTGGAGGTCACCTACAGCCATACCCAGTAAAACAGAAGCTGATAAGGCATGTTTCTTTCTGCACATCTTTTATATACAAGCGTTAACTCCAATCTAGTATTGCTATTGTTTGGAAGTACCTGAGAAAAGATGTCTTGTATGTACTATTCCTTTAATAAACTATTTTATTCTTATGTCTTTAAAAAAATCACTTCTTATAAATTATAGGTTACTAAATTTGCCCAAACTGTTACTACAGTGTTTGGATTTAATCACACCAACTCTTGTTTTTCACAAAGAGGGAAACCCAGGCTTGTATAAGTCACCCCAAGCCATATGAAGTCTGCTGGAGATCAGGCCCTACAGTGTTCTGGATCTAGAGACCTTTGCAAGTTGTATCCTCAGTGACTAACGTAAGCTCTCCCTCGGTTCAGAAACAATTAAAAGGGCACAGTGCCGGCAGTTTGCCTCTCAAACCTGCGGTGTCATGCCTTTGCCCAAGGCCCACCCAGAAGATCAAAACTAACTTGTCAGCTGCACGGTGGTGGTAGTGGCCGCGGCGGAGGCACGCGTGCCTTTAATCTCTGCACTTGAGAGTGGAGCTCTGAGTTGGAGGCCAGCCTGGTCTATGGAGTGAGTTCCAGGACAGCCAAAGCTACACAGTGAAACCCTGTCTCAACTCCCCGCAAAAGAAAATAAAAAGAAAAAACTGACTTGTCAACTTGGTTGTCAGGACAAGTTAAAGCAGGTTCTTCCTACCCTCCATTCGCATGCAATCTCGGGATTTGACGTCACTCCGTCCCAGATGTGGTCTCCCCAGTAGCTTTCTCCATCTCTTCCTTGTAATGACAGGGAGCTTGCTTGGCCTGTTACTCTCGTCACACCAACACCTTTTAGTTGCTGATTTTGCTCTTTCCTACGTTTCCCTCAATCCAAACATAGAGGTCCGTAACTCTGCCTTTCAAATTGGCTATCCAAGGCAGACCTTGCTGGTGGCTTTGACTGGAGCTCTCATGTAAGCATAGACCGAGCCCTTCCCTTCACATACCCTTCAGACCTGCCCCAGGGACACTCTTAACAAAGCGCTGACCCCAAGCTCCTGTGATTTGGGGTGGCCGTAACTAACTCCCATGAACGCTAATGTCTAGGTTTCATTTCCATTTACGTCATATCACTTCCTAGCACAACTCCACAACTCCTGTAATGCTTTCAGACCCCAAGTTAAGTTTTTTGTTTTTGTTTTAAACCTCAAGGAGAATTTCTAACAAAGCACTGCACTAGCTCTCCAGCCAAAGGAACTTCAGGGCTTTGTTCACAAATGGCCTCCTGAGACTGGCTTACGCGGGCGCCTCCACCTTCTGGCCTCATGGCTTTACTCTCCTCTTAGCCTATTTGAGTCCAATGCTGTGCAGATAAAGGATACAGTTACAGTGGCTTCAGTGGCTAAGTGTGGCTAAGGAAACCACTGCTGCCAGAAAGAAAGTTAGATCCAAAGCTGTTGTCTAAGAAATGGACTGAAGTCAGAATAAGCCTCTTGGACATCTAGATCCAAGCATGGCTGCAGCCCTGCTCAAATTTCAAATCATCTTAAATGTTACACAGCTCAGCTTAAAGGTATTTTTACATAAGTTATTTCTAAATCTTGGACATTTATCAACAAATTGAAAGCAAGTGGTGTTGTGTACACCCTTCCGCCCAGCACTCGAGAGGCAGATCCCGGCTAGCCAGGACTACACAGTGAGACCCTCTGTATGAACGAATAAAACAAAATGTGAGTCAAATTTTAATATAAAAACAAATTAACAAAACAGCTCAAGAAAAACTGTTGGGTATAAAATCTGCTTAAAGTGTTCATTCACTGTCATCAGTTTGTGTGACTAAGAAAGCTCAAACTCTAAATACAGGGTGGTGTTCTTAGATGGTTCTACTGACAAAAGTAGGCTGCCATCTCTAGATGTCCTGTCACACAGGCCTGTGCAGAGAATAAACCAGAACCATGACCCAATCTGAGGCCACGATATCACCAGCTTTTATTCTGTCATGTTACATGGTGCGAATAGAGTCAGACACGCATTAAACCCACCTTCTGTTCTGGCCACTTTCCTCAACTCTACTGCCCTCTTCCTAACTGGTCACTGGAGCCAAGACCACAATGCAGTGTGCTGTGGTCAAAGCTGTGGGCTCATGCTGCACTTACCAACTGAGCTCTCTCAGTCCCTACATAGTTTCCAGTAGAAATGTCTCATTATTGTAAAATAATGAGAAATGCTTAAATCAACAGTGACAGGGAAATAGAAAAATGGAAAAAAAAAAAAAAAGCCAATCAATATATTTTGGAAGACAAAGCCAAATGTGAGGGGTGCCTCAGGCCTGCTCACAGTTAAGATGTCCTTCACACTGCCATCACTGACCTGACAACTTTCATGTGTGCCATGCTCATCCTGTTGGTACTGTCTGAATGAAGGGCCTGGAATGTTGAATGGCAGAAAGAAAAGAGCGGAGAGGAGGCGGAGAGCAGAGGCTCCCGGCGTCCAGTAATATCACCGACAGTAATATCAATCAGCCTGTGTTCTTCCCCACAAGCAAAACAGCATGATCTGCAGTTAAGATGAAACTCCAGGGGCTGGTGGGGAGGGGGAGCTACTGACTACCGTCACAGTGAGAGTAAAGAATTCGAGATGAACAGATCATTAAGACTTCCTTTCCACTTTATTATACGACAATGCACAGTCACAAGCGTCCCGTGGGCCAGTTCACTCTCAAGTGGAAGCTTTTATTGACAGCCTTTAAGTAAGCTAAGGACAAAGCACTGCCAATCTTTCTGAAAAGTGGCAGGAGAAATCCAGAGATGCAACCAAAATGCAGTAAGAGCCTGTTCTCATCACAGGGCGCACTAAGCTACCAGGTGATTAGGAACACAGTAAGCGGTAAGGAATGACGTACACGCTGCAAGAATTTTAGTGCTTACCTAATCTAAGTTATCAGCCTGTTGGACTGCACAACAATTTATAAGACCTATGCTATTTGTTTAGTGCTAGGTGACCATGCTGGCATGAGCTCCTTTAGTGCCACACTAAACTACTAGAAACTAGAAAAACCTACCTCTGAGAGAGAGAGGGAGGGAGGGAGGGAGGGAGGGAGAGAGAGGGAGAGAGAAGGAAGAAGAAGGGGGAGGAGGAGGAGAAGAAATTACCTCCTGGGTGGTAATCACAACAAGAACAGCTTGAGGAGTTTACGAAGTTATTTCTAAAAGATTACTCTAGAGTCCACTGTAATTTTTAAGATGTTTTAGTAAAGAGATGCACTGTAGAAACTTTCTTTTGAAGGCAGGATCTCAAGGAGTCCAGGCTGGCCTCACACTTCTGACCCTTCGCCCTCCACCTCCCAAGTGCTGGGTTTCAGTCATGAGCCCCACCATGCCACATGGGTGTGTGAAGGTCAGAGAAGAACCTGCAGGAGTCACTTCTACTCTGGGTCTCGGGGTTGAAACTCAGGTCTTTAGGCTAGGCAGCAAGCCCCTTTACCCACTGCGCCATCTTGCTGTTCCCTATACACCCCCAAAGCAAACAAATATAAAACAACGGCAGCTACTAGGGGAATGGAGTTTCATGTTGACAGTGGTTGTAAGTTACTTTCCTCAAGTGCTGTTCTGTGCTGTTCCTGGATGGAAAGAACAGCAACCCTTAACAGACTGAATCCTGACATAAGCTTATTGCCACCCAATAATTTATTCACAAGATCACACTACCTAGAACCTCTCCAAGGATCTTCATTGCCCTTTATGTTATGTATATTCAGGCAAACTATTAAGGAAAACACAATGCTTTGGAAATTATGCACACTAAACGTGAGATATTTCTTACCTCTTCTATGCACAGACATGAATTCGACTCTTTTAAAGGGCTCAGACCCCATAAAGCCATTGTGTCTATCTCTACCTGCTTAGTGATGCTGTTAAAATTGGCTGTTTATTCAACATTCTAGTTTCACCTCCTAAAAGTGTGAAGTCCAAGAACACACTCGGGCACAGTGTTCCCTGTACAAACTGGGTGACAGTTTATGGTGCCTATTTATAAACTGTCTCCTCAACTAGGCTGCAAACTCCTGGAGTGGATTCCAAAACCTAGCAGAGAGCTGCATATGGAGATGTGTGATGACCACCAAGGATCCCGGCTGGTGGGTAAGTTTAGAGTTTACTTGCTTTAAAGCCTGAACTAACTGTTGACTTTCACATACTTCAAATGACCTGCATCCTGGACACCAGTGTCCCTGACAGGATTCCAAAACAACCGGCAGCAAACCGAAGCTGGTTCAGATTTTCAAGTCTGCAGGACCACAGCATACTTGTTTCCAGGGACTGACTTCAGCCAAGAAGAGACACTTGTGAGATGTTTGTGTGACTTTTTAAAGTAGTGATTTGAAACTCGAAAAGTGGGGAAGGGTTTCTCACACAGTCAGAATCTTGCTGTAGGAACCATGAGCCCTTCCACATAGAGGGAAGGTTTCGCGGGAGTGCTTGCCCACTTACTGGGAGCTTGTAATCTGCCCAAGTTCCAGAATCTTCACAAAAATGAAATTCTTAGAAAATATAAAACTGTATTTAAGTAAGATCCTCACAGTGCTATTTCCTTCACAGACACATTTCAGTTATTAAATTATCAGATCTATTTATAAATGAGACATGGACTTCAGTATGTGTATTTCTCAACCACAATCTTCCCCACACTAAAGCCTCCCACTCCCTCACTGGGCACTTCCTAGGGAACAGCAAGCCCGGGCTAGCAGGGCGGAGAGAAACAATGAACGCCCAGCCGCTGTCCTGAGGAACTGCAGCCACAGACTGTGGATGGATGCAGTGCATGCTCCCTCCTAGGGTTCCACAGGACACAGCGGTGGAAGAGGAAGTTTCCCCCGGGACTGTGGGCAGCATCTGGACCTAGTCGACCTGTGCTCTTATAGATTCAAAGGCCACCAATGCTTCTTTTGCTTTGAATTTTATTTGGCAAAGCAGCACTGCATAAACTGTGCAGGGACGCAGCAGCTTACAGTGTAAGATGCAGATACATTATCAGCAGCAAACTAGAAACAAAAAAACGATGGGTGAGCTACAAGCCTCCTATCATTTTCAGAGAGGAAAGTTACACCAGAGATGTCCAATCTGAACAGCTGTGTTGGGGGGACCACCTGCCATCGTCTTAAGTTTCAGTATTTACAAACACCTAGTTTTAGGGTAACAGCAGCTGACTGTATCTACAACATGCTATCCTATGACGCCACAACAAAAGCTTTAAGAAGAAAGCTCATCTCTATTGTCTTAGTAGCAGCTAACAAATATTAGCTACCAAGAAACCTAACTTATGAACGTGGTGTTATCTGATGCACAAAAGAAATCTGATAAATAATATTGGAACTGAATTAAGTGTCCAAGAAAAGCAAAGCCACTCTTCAAAACTAAATCACAAATGAAGCTTTCCAGTTGGAGAACCCTTTCTTTTAATATTTTTAAAGTAAGATGTGGGCGTGTTAAAACCACACACAAAGTTACGCTTTGCAGCCAGCCTCTACCAGTTTGGCTCTGCACCTCTTTGAATTAGGAAACCCTACAAAACCACACATTTTCATGCTGAAAATAAGAGTATAACGAAGTCCAAAACAAGCTGATGCTGTTGGTTTTCAAATGCTTTAAGGACCGAGATGAGCAATCCACTGCAATGTTATAGACTGGTCAAGCTCATGTTGCTTTTACAGTTCATACCTGGGAGAAAAGAGAAAAATCTAATTAGGAGTTACATGCTGTGAACTGGCGCTGATCCATTTAGACAAAACATTCAAGTCAGCAAAATATGAAGATTCCAAGCAATTCAGTAAGAGAAATGAAAGCACATACAGCCCCAAGCCAAAGCAAACTGGACACCAGTCACTGCAAGCATCTTCCATGCTACTCCACACACAGTCGGAAACCACACGCCCACGCTGTTTTGTAATTCTAAAAGTAAAACCTCTTTCTTTGAGGCAAAGAAAAACTCAGAGAATTTATGACTTCTGTCGAGGATCATCTTGCTAATGTTATTTATTATAAGATGATAATTTAAACATTTAGAGTTCACATTTATTTTTTAATACTTATATTCACAACTCTGGGTAAAGTAGTCTTTTGCTTAGAGTCTGTTAGCACTGGCAGAATGGGCCGACTGCAACCCAAACTGGAGAAAAGGAATCATCTGTAGGCATTTTATACCTGTCGGCTGATTTCCTAAGGCAGCTTTACCAGCTCCAAAGAAACCATTCACTCAGCCACGTGCAGCACTGGACCAGCAACTGCCAGTGAGAGGAAGGAAGGAATAAAAACGAGTCTAAGGTAAACTGTGGCGTATAAATTCTACCTCAATGAAGCCATTAAACATGGGAAAATAAACAAAACCATCAATAGTCTCTTCTGAAGAGAACTTAGGTAACAAAACCATCACTAAACACGCACTACTGTAGGGATAAAGTAGTATGATTTTGCAGTTAAATCTCAAATGACTTGGGAAACTATGACATACTTGTGCGCAGAGAAAGTGTGAGGAGCACACACAGAGACAGGAGCTGGCCTTGGGCAGAAGCTCAGGAGTGCTGTACTCCTCTACTAACCTGTCTCAGCAAAACCTAAGATGAATGCTTTGTGAAAGCTATGGATGTGGAAGAGACATGAGGTGAGGGCTTTCATGTCCCAAGGAGGTCCTGGGTTCAAGACTTAGCAAATAATGTGCCTTTTAAGTTGCGTTTTACAAACATTATCAAGAAAACTATTTTCTAGTAAGCCCTTTCTCACGTTACATACTGGTGTGTGTGTATATGCGCATGTGTCCGTGAGTGTGTCCGTGAATGGTGTGTGAGTGTGTGGTGTACATAGAGGCCAGAGAGTAGTGTCTGGTAAATCCCTCAGTTACTTTCCACTTTATTGTTTTGACATGGACTCTCTTTCTGAATCTAGAGCTGCAAGGCTTCCTGGCTAGTAAACCCACAGAATACACCTGTCTCCCCCTTCCCCACTCCCTCCGTGCTGGAGTTACAGACACACCACCACAGCCAGCTTTTACGTGGTGCCCAGGATCTAAACTCGGGCCCTTTTTCTAGCACAGCAAGTACTTTATAAGCCAGAGCACCTCTCTAGACACTGGATTATCCATCAGCTCTATTCCCTCCTGATATAGTCTTCTAACGACAGTATTATAATTAGCACAGAACAGTGTTTACCGTAGTTCATGAGTAGTTCATGAAGATGTTAGAGTATCAGCTACAGAGGAGTCACTTGCTCTATTCACACGGTTCACCTGGACCTTTTAAAGCATGAATTAGGATACTAAACCATAAAATTTGTATTTATTTCTTTCAAGACACTAAATACTTAATAAATAAATCCTAATGCCCAGCAACAACATAACCCATTTCCAAACATCCTTCTCCATTACATTTTCTCTTTAGGGGAGTACTGGGGATCAATCTCAAGGCCTATGCATACTAAGCAAGTAATCTACTAATGATCTCCAGATGGGACACATGTGGAGTTTGTTCATATTTTCCCAAAAAAAAAAAAAAAAAAAAAAAAAATCAATATATAAATTAGGCTCCTAAATTGGAATTTTAAATTTTAGGGTACAAAGAAAAGCTGACATTTCCTGTGTACACATAGGAAACTTCACATATTCTAATTCTCTCAGATCCCCTTCAACTTCTTTGTTTGTTTGTTTGCTTTGGCAGGGTTTCTCTGTATAGCTTTGGCTGTCCTGGACAGCCTTGAACTCACAGAGATCCATCTACCTCTGCCTCCCAGAGTGTTGGGATTACAGGTGTGTGCCACCGTGCCTGGCTTCAACTTTCTAGTTACAAATTTTCCCCAATGTTCAACATTCTGTTTATCTGATGTATACATACAAATCATTTACAATAAAAAGTGGCATGCCTAAAACTTAGAAAGGCTGTTTAAAATGGCTGTATATGTTAAATATAGTCAGTTATACAACCCTGTAAGTTTGTTGTATTAAGTTCTAATAGCTCTATGTTAGTCATACTGAATAATACATACTATCATTTAAGAACAAAATGAAAAGGTGTACTACGAGGTAATAACACCTCAGATCCACAAATGTTTCCTAACAGTTTAATCCCCTTTCTAAGGTTTATTTGCATTATTTGAATCAGAAAGATGCAGGCTTTTTTTTTTTTTTTGGGGGGGGGGTTTGTCCAAAACATCTACAACGGAAAGAAGTATCTTCTTATGAAGCGGGGCTTACTCGCTAGGGCCGTCATTGCCCTGGGTAACTTTACAGAAACTGTCTGTGGGACCCTACTGCGGAAGCATCACATGCTTGGTCCACAACTATGGGGAGCTCAAGCTGGTATTGACGTACAACGTCTCCCTTCTGGCTCTTCTAGCACGGGAAGGCGTTCAGCTTTATCTAGCTGTGCTCTGAGAGCTACAGCAACGACTGCTTAGTGCACTCCCTGGTGCAGGGTGACACGAGTGTCAGGGGAGCAGCAAGCACTTTCTGACTGAATGTAAGGGCTGCTCCACATGGTGGAGTCCACACCTGGCACCTTTATCAGACTGAAGCCTCTGGTTACACAGGTCATAGGCCCTAGGGGAGAATCTACTATTATTCTGCTAACATAACATAGTATTAAATAGATGCCTAATGACTTCTCATTATACCCATATACTAATGCATCTTTCAAACCTCCTCAAAAAAGTTCCTTTTTGCAGTAGATGGCAACGAACAGAGGCCCACAACTAATCAACATGCAGAGAATGAGTGGCTGTGGGGTGAGAACTCAGCCTAAACAGGAGATCCCAACCTGCCCCCAGGCTTGGGTACTGCTGCAGAAATGGTTTGGAAAGACTCTAAGAGTCAGAGGCAGTGGATGACTATAAGGAAACTTTTCCAGATACAACAGGGCAGCCTCGGCTGCACACTGAACTCTCAGAGACCATGACAGCATGCACAAGGCAAGGAACACCTCAAGCTAGACAAAGCCCCAGCATGCACAAGGAAAGCGAGCTATTGTTAAGCAGCTGTAGGGAGGTGGAGAGTTGGTTTCTGTTTGTTAAGGGTGTGCTTCCTAGATGGTCTAACACATTCATGGATGGCCATAAACCCAAGAGTGAAATACCACTTTAAGCAACTGAGATTATTACTTTTGCAACTAAATATTCAAGAGCCAGCAAGATAGCTCAGAGGGTGAGAGCACCTCCTGTCTACACTAAGAATCTGAGCTCAACCCTACACCCCCCTGCCGCCCCAAGTTCCACACAGTAGGAGAGAACTGACTTCTCCAAGTTGTTCTCTGAGCTCCACACTCATGCTGTGGCAAACACATGCATACATGCACACGCAAAGTCATTCAAAGGTGCCTGTTTTCTTTACAGAACACAAAATTAAAAGTTCTGTTGTACTTAAAATTGCCAATTATTAAAAAGAACAAAACAGAGCAAAAGTCTCTTCAAATGAGAATCCTAGCAACTAGGAAAGCCTCTAAGGCAAAGCCACGGTCAGGCCATCCTTATTTGGACACCTCTTCAAGCACCTGGCCACAGTGCTCCAATATGCTGTCCTCCCTCCTCCCCGTCAGGGCAGAGAGGGAAGGAAAGGGAAAAAGAAGAGATGTCAGAGGACATAGTCAGCTGACACAGTGGCCCTGAGCACGCGATAGGGCTGTGAGGACAGCGCTGTGCTGCACACCTTCCAGGCAGGCTCTGAGACCTGGTGCACCTCACTGGACGGCTTCTGGAATCCCTCTTCTCCCCAAACTTAACCACAAGAGCTCAAAATTGGCTGGCCTAATCTACGGCATGCTGACACATCTACTTCTTACAATGGCTCTGAAACTGTATCACCCATGCACACTTAGGAACTGACCCAAAGAATCAACTCAAAAGGCAGACTGTCCTCTTTGGGATTCTGATATTTGTTAAAAACTGGGACAAGTATCTTTCCCTTTTCCAAATATTTTTTTTCTCCTTTTCACAGTGGTATCAGAGGGAGTGAACAAGGTAAGAAACTATGGTCTATTTTCCAGATCAAAGTATTTATTTCCATACCTATATATAGCAGCTATAAACATGACTTATAAATATGCAGGGAAATAGTGTCTGATAAAGAAACCCTCTTAAATCAGATCAGCTGTGCCAACCAGATCTCAGACCATGCAACACTTGTCACACGTTTAATGTGATGAGTTTCTGATGCTTTAATGGAGTAGCATGAAGGAAGCCACCAAAAACAGTTCTTGTAGGCTAATGTCTTAAAGTGCACACCCTTTCACCTTGAATGTGTGGAAGAAAGAGCAGAAGAGAAAGTCACTTCCACCTGGACCACTGCTTCTCTTTGTCTGTTAAAGGCACGTATATCACCCCCATGAGAGGCTTCATCTTGACACTGCCATCTTGTAGCTTGTCATACTGCTCCAGCATTTGGTTTCCTCCTGCTGGACCGACTGGCAATATCAATCTTCCACCAGGCTTTAACTGGTCTATTAGCTGGGAGAAAAAAAACACCACATACGCACCAAGTTACAGATGTGAACAGCCAGAGCCGTCTCACAGTGCTGTTGAGGAATGTTCACATCCTTCACTTAGTCCTTCTTAGTGTCCTTGGGGGTTGACTCCAGGACCTCCGTGAGCACAGCACAACCTATGGTGGCTGAGGCTTTCACAAGTGGCACAGCATTCACATGTAACTCACTGCACCCCTACCCACACCCTAGGTTACTGGGTTTCCTAACAGAGGGCCCAGACCTCCCTCCACTATATGGACTCACTGTAGTGCACAGTGACTTAAACGCTGCTCCTTCACTTTCTGGGCCTCCTCCCCTCCAAAACATATTTCCCCTTCCCTCCTGGTTGAACAAACAGTACAATTCTAGTAACCAACTCCCTACCTAACCATTTCTCTCTCAGCCTCCCCCTCTAAGCCACAAGTTATTTGATGATAGAAACTATGTTACATTCATCTCTGTCTGTATAGCACCTGACAAGAGTGCCTGGTACAACTAAAGAGCTCAACAAGTTAACAAGTTTGAGAACCCACTGTAACAGAGAACTCTAATGATGGGATACCATGTTCCAGGTCTTTGCAGAAGGGGAGACGAAGAAGGGAAAAGTACGGAAAAGCTACTGCTATCCTATTACCGTGCAATATGGAGCATCTCTCAGACAACGGTACGGGAATCCTAAGGACATGATTGCATTTAGGACTCCTTTAGTGTGATGATGAGGACAACCCTATGAAGGCAGAACCAGACTACCCTTCTGGTCTGAACATGGTTAAATCATATGCTATCCTTTGTTATTCAAACCAGCAGGAAAGAAATCTGACTTTGGATAGTCTTTCCCCTGAGAAGGTTGCTTTCAGTTAAAATTTGATCATCAAATTATATTTCTTCCATTTTAATTTTTGTTTTGTTTTTTGAGACAGGGTTACACAAAGACAGGTTTCTCTGTGTAACCCTGGCTGCCCTGGATCTTGCTCTGTAGGCCAGAGACCGCCTGCCTTTGCCTCCTAAGTGCTGGGATTAACGGCGTGCACCACCACTGACCCACTTTTTAGAATTTCTTTAAGTAATCTTGAATGTTGAGTTGCCTTTGAATAACTTTCCTGAGTTCTAACAGTTACAATGAAAACTACGAGACTTCTCCCTTCACCCCCAGTCTTGCTCCCAAAGCCACTTCTTTCGTCTCTATCTTCTCAACACCACATTTCTGCTTCAGCTCTACTATAGGACTGAGCTCCTTCTATGCCGCCTGCCATTCCCAAGCCCGACAAGCATAATTCCTATTAATCCACACTGAGCTAAGACTTTGTAGAAACAACCTGAGTGCCGAGCTAGAGGCTTCAAGGACTCTTAGACCCATTCAAGTTCCACCGACATCTCCCTGCCTACTCTGCCAAATCCTCTCCACGCTTTCCTTTCCATCTAATACTACCAGCACTTAGTGTCAACTAGAATGCATGAAGTCTACAGATATTCTCAACTCCCTGCCACACTGCTACATAAAAACATTTTAAGTTCCAGTGGAGCAAAACACACAAATAAAAGCAACAAAAACTCAACTCACTGCCTGGGGCACAACGGGTGCTGCAGCTCCTACATGAATAGCATCATAAGGGGCTTCTTCAGGGTACCCCATTCTTCCGTCACCCACTGAAAAAGAAGTTACACCCTGAAAATCTGTGCGAGTCAGACTTGCTGTGAAGAATTATAACACAGGAGGTTAAAAATGGAGTGAGGGAAGAGACCTTCCTGACGTCACAGACCCTCAGACATAGAGGGAGAATGTTGGGAACGACATTGCAGCTAAGAGTCTCTATTCAGCACAAGGGCTGGTGCAGCCCAGTGGCCCTGCACCCACGCAGGTAGCATGTGGAAGGCCGTGGGTTCGATCAAAAGCCAAATAAAAAAGAGAGAGAAGGTGGCAACAAAATAAAAACGCACAGCACCAAGGGAAGAAGAAATTTATGTAAAGCAACAAAGACGAATCACTACAATACCTGTATCAGAGACAAACACAAGCAACTGGAATGGCCAAACAGGCACTCGACAAAAAGGAAATCCAAATGGGCAAAATGAAAACAACTTCAACCCCGATGATAAGGAGGAAAACAAGCTGAGATCATAAGCAAGGCAATGCTACGTGCCCATTAAAATGGACACAAATAAGCTGCTTTTTCTACTCAGGATCTCAGGGAAGGTGGAGGATGCAATTCTTAGCTCTAAGCACTGCTCTTCTACAAATGAAAACATGAGTTTCCTGCTACTCACCAACCAGCCGCACTCGCCCCGAGGACAGAAGCATCGGGTCATCTTTTTTGACATTGTTTATTGAGTCATCTACTAGTTCTTTAATGTGATCAATTCCAATAACTTTTCCGCTATGTCCAACCTGGAAAGCAAAGAATAATTCAGGAGTCCACAGGGCTAAATTTGCTTTCCTGAAGTATCATTAAAATGTTTCCTTACTTAAAATCATATTCTGCAATGAGAAATAAAGTTTCAGTCTTTCATCTGTTAAACTCAGTTTATCGTAATTACCATATACAACATTTTTCAAATTCTTGAGTAATTTTATTTAAGCAATTATAAAGTTAAAATAAATTACAAAAACTTATAATGCTAAGAAAATCGCATCTCTCTTAGATTTCAAATTTTTAAATCCAGAGCTTAGTCAGGTACGGTGGGTGGCACAGGCCTCTCTCTAGTCCTTGCACTTAGGAGGCAGAGGCGGTGCTTAGGCTATACACGAGTTCCAACCACAGCCCTACGGTGAGACCCTGTCTCAAAAAAAACTAAAGAGGGGCTGGAGACATCTCTCAGCAGTGAAGGGCACTGACTATTCTTCCAAAGGACCCGGGTTCAGTTCCCAGATGTGGGTTCAACAACCACATGGCAGCTTATAACTGTCTGTAACTCCAAGATCTGACACCCTCACACTGACATACATGTAGGTAAAACACCAGTGCACATAAAATAAAAATAAATTATCAGCCGGGTGCAGTAGTGCACACTTGTAATCCCAATACTCAGGGAGGCAGAGGCAGGCGGATCTCTGTGAGTTCAAGGAGAGCCTGGTCTACAAAGCACGTCCAGGACAGCCAAGGCTATACAGAGAAATCCTATCTCCAAAAACCAAAATAATAATAATAAATGTTTAAATCCTGAACTTTGAGGGGAGATGTAACTACCAATATTTAGTTTGTATGAACTCTAGCTAAAAGAGTAATTTAAAAACTATTGAGCTGTTGAGCCAGGCATGGGGGTACATAATTAATTCTATCTGCAGGCAGATCTGTACAAGTTCGAGGCCAGCTTAGTCTACATTAACAAGTTCCAAGCCAGCCATGGCTACATAGCTAGACCCTGTCTCCAAATAAATAAAGTAAAAAGATAAAATATTACATAAAAAAATTTAAAAAGCTAGACACTATGGCAACTCGCCTATCTTCCCATAATTTGGGAGGCTGAGGCAGGAGGCTGGCCAGTTTGACTACAGAATGAATTTGATGCAAGCCTGGGTTTTATTTGAGATCTTGTTTCAAAAGAAAAAACAAAAACAAATAAATGGTGAAGTGGGATTTTCTACATTTCTAAGACCATGAGGCAAACTGTGAGGTGTCACGAACTTCTTTTTATGACTTTTTTCCCCTGTATTTCTATACCCAACTCTATTGGTATCAATGAAAAATATGAAAATACATAAATACAGAAGGCAGGCATGGCAGTACACGCCTTTAACCTCAGTACTCAGGAGGCAGAGCCAGGTGAATCTCTAAAGTAGAAACCAGCCTGGTCTACAGAGCAAGTTTCAGGGCAGCCAGGGCATATAATGAGACCCTGTCTCAAAAAAGAAATACATAAATACATAAAAAGGACTTAAATGTCAATACTAATTACAAATGTTAATAGAATAAAGGATCTCAACAAACTTCTGGATATTATCTGAATTTCATCACTCATCACTGTTGCCTGACGCTAGACACATAAACCAACATTCTCTAAGTCATGTTCCTCAACTACAAAACAGGGTCTACAGCACATAGAGGATACAAGAAACAAAAGAACACACAATAAGCACTTGGAATACTGACAAGCACTAGTAAATGCTTGGCAAACAGTATCATTCTTAAAATATAACTCAGAGACTTTTTGAAAAAAAAAAAACATTTAAAAAACTTTTATTTATTTTATTATATATACGTAATTTCATTCATCCATTCATTTGTTTGTTCATTGGTTTTTCAAGACAGGGTTTCTCCATGTAGCCCTGGCTGTCCTGGAACTCACTATGTAGACCAGGTTGGCCTTGATCTCAGAGATCCACCTGCTTCTGAGTGCTGGGATTAAAGGGGTGCGCCTCCACTGCCTAGCTACAACTACATTTATTTACTTATTTTTTGTGTAGGGGGCGTGTGCCATGGCACACACAGTGAGGCCAGAGGTCTGAGAACACAGGTTGTCAAGACTGGAAACAAGGGCCTTCACCTGCTGAGCATCATGTCACCGCCCCCTCAAAGAAAAAACTTAAAAAATAAATATTCCTTTGAAATCAATAACATCTCAACACTAGAGCACTACTTGTTACTTAAATGCTATTTCCAGCTTTTAATAAAAGAATTCCTGACACCCAGTTCTGAGGACTTAAAACTCTGTAAAACATACAAAACACCTTAAAACGAAGTTGGTGACACCTCACAGTGCACCTCACAGCCTGAGATATTTAGCTAACTGCAAGAAAAAAACTTAGACAAGACTCATCTCTAGAGAGATAATGCAGGAGCCACTGCACAGCCACACACATTCTAATCTGGACAGATGCACACATCTCAGCCTAAGTAGGCCAGGACTCGAAGGTGGCCACTGGACACAGCATTTCTCAAAATCAACCTGATGGACTCTCTGAGCACGGGGGAACCTTCACCCCACCTGTGTCAGTGGATCCCAGCTTACACTCTGGGCAGCTTCAGCAAATAAGCCTCTGGTGCTAACTCTGGAGCACAGTGAACATGGCATTTGCCAGCTCCTCTAAGGGAAAGGCTCTACCTGCACTCTTGAGAAACAGGTAACCTGATACCTGATACCTAAACCAGATACCTGAAAACCAGGCCCATTTAATTCTTTTCCGTCAGATGAGAATTTAGCAGAATGTAGTTTGAATCACTGAGCTGCCATATTGGAATCACAGGGTAAAGGTTGTCTAATCATGATGCTGACATGCAGAAAGATACAAGAGCAAATCCACACCCAGAGAGAAACCAATCAGTAATAACGCCTACACTGGCCAGGCATGGTGGCACACGCCTTGAATCCCAGCACTCAGGCGACAGAGAAAGGTGGACCTCTGTGAATTCAAGGCCAGCCGCGTCTACTTACTGAGTTCCAGGATAGTCAGAGCTATATAGAGAGACCCTCCCTATTTCAAAAAAACAAAATAAATAAAATAAAATGAAATACAGCCTGGCCATCTAAAGCCAGCCTGGGAGGTCCTAGGCTTTTCCATCATGTAAGTTAAATAAATTCTTATTGAGTACTACAATTTGGGTTGTCTCTTGCAACAATAATCTAAAATGATAAATATTAAAATTACCATCTTAATAGAACATAAGCAAACAAACAAAAAAAAAAATCCAAACCACTATAGAAAGAACCCATAGCTACATCACATAATACATCTCTATTAAGATCACAGGTAGAATGAAGTTCTTACCATCCGGGCAAAACACGAGGTAAGGATTCCACTTCCAGACCCTACATCAAGGGCTTTAGCACCTTCATGCAACTGGTCAAACAGGAGTTCTAGCGCATATGCATGCTGCGGAAGAAAATTAAGCAAACATTCACACACCTGGTACAAGTATAACTGGCAACTTTCTACCAAAGTCTCTCCTGTTACCATCTCTGAAGACAATGGGACCATACTGACGCCCCAGTAATTGCAAAAGACAGTTTTGCTGAATTAACCTCCTACATTTAAAGTGCTCTTGTAATTTTAAGTAACTACTATATAAATTAAATTCAAAGAAAAAAATTTAAAAAGCGATTTTCAGTGAAAAGCCTTCAACCACTTCCCACTGTCCAGTTTTATTCTCTGAAGGCAACTAATGTTTCCAGTTTCATGCAATTTTTCTGTAATATTCACTGTTTATGTAAAAGCAAATACTGTTTCACTTAGTATATTTTGGAGGAAAATTCAGTACTTAAAGAGCTGTGTGTTCTTTTATATAGCTTAGATTATATTTGGGTATGAATGCATTAGACCGCATATCAATATTGAAAAGACTTAAGTTAGCTGCAATCTTCTATAACAAAAAAAAAGTTATCAAATACAATTGTAAGATAATAACACTCTTAATAAAAGTCATAAAAAGTGTTGGGTGTGGTGCTGTTCAGGAGGCAGAAGCCAACTTGGTCTACATAGTGAGTTCTAGGCCAGACAGGACCATACAGTGAGACCCCATTTCAAAAAACAAAAAACACACAAAAGAGGAATTAGCATATGTTAAATTATTTTCTTGTTCTTTTTGGTTTTTCAAGGAAGGATTCCTCTGTGTAGCCTTGACTCTCCTTGAACTCACTCTGTAGACCAGGCTGGCCTCTAAGTTAGAGGTCCGCCTGCCTCTGGCTCCACTGCCCAGCTTATGCTAAATTCTTAAAAGAAAACAAAACAGAACAAAAACCACGATAAAATAATATTTTTAGGTTTATAGTACTGTGGTGGTCTGACTGAGAATGGTCCCTAAGAGGCTCCTATATTTGCATGCTTGGTCTCCAGCTGGTGGAGATGTTTGGGAAGATTAGGAGATGTGGCCTTGATGGAGAAGGGATGTCACTGGGTGGGTTCTGAAGTTTCAAACGCTCAGGCCATTCCCAATTAACCCAGTTAACTCTCTCTTTCCTCCCTCTCTTTTCTTTCCTTTTTTAAGGTTTTTCCCGACAGGGTTTGTCTGTGTAGCCTTAGCCATCCTGGAACTTGCTCTATAGCTCTATAGACCAGGCTGGCCTGGAACTCACAGAGAGTCAACTACCTCTGCCTCCCAAGTACTAAGAACAGACATGTTCCACCACCACCAGGCCCGTCTCTCTCTGTGATGGATCAGATGTAGCACCATGCCTGCATGTCTACTGCCAAGTTCCCCATCACGAATCACAGACTCAAACCCTCTGGAACCACGAAGCCCAAATTAAATGCTTTCTTTTATAAGTAGCCTGGTCATGGTGTTTTTTCGCAGCAATAAAAAAAATTACCAAGATGCTACAAAGATGGCTCTGAGGTTAAGAGCACTTGCTGCTCTTGCAGAGACAGGTTCCAAGTACCACACCTGGTACAACCACCCCCGAGTCCAGTTCTGACCTCAATGGGCCCCAGGCGTGCACATGGTACACAAACATATATATTAAAAATAAGATTCCACCAATTATGCTTTAGACCAAACCAAGAAATAAACGTTTCCTTATTCCATTCTTTTTTTAAACTTACATTTGAGTGCTTTTCCAATATGTAGGAAGAGGGATTAACAGCATCTCAAACGCTGGCCTTCAAACCTGGTGTTGTCCTTAGTAGAGATAACTCAGTCTGGTAGCAATACATACCCACTAGCAGACTTAGTTGTTAGGAAACACACCCAGGGGCCTGTGAAGGTGGTTCAGCAGTTAAGAGCACTTGCTGCTTTTGCACTGGACCTGAGTTTGATTTCCAGAACCCACAAGGCAGCTCACAGCCAACTCTAATGCTAGTTCCTTCTGCTCACCTTTTTGGGGACCATGCACCCAAGCAGTACATGCAAGCAAAACATCCCTACACATAAAATAAAACATTACAAAATATGTATTGGAGTCTGTGGGGATACATAATATAAACGTATGGGAAGGAGAGCAAACCATTTTTAGATAAATGGTCTCTGGGCAACCCCTTCAGTGATAATGATTCAGGCAAAATGGCCAATTGGATGTTAAAAGCTGTGGATTAACATTTGATGTGTAACAAGGTATTTAAATAATCTCAAGCTACTCATCAAAATCCCTATTCATGAAAAAAGAAGATCAACTTTACAGTACCATTCAGAAAAGTCTGTGGTGGGAAGACATGACCAACCCCTAGTCAAGCATCTAAGCTAACACCTGCCATAAAGGGGCATACTAACATTAAAGCCTCTGCTGGGATAGATCATTTCTGGGATCTTCTGTGCAAAAACTGCACAACCCATAATGAATGATGAGAAAACAATCCAAACTGGAGTATATTATATTAACATAAGTGTCCTGCATTCATAAAAAAAAAATCAAGTACATAAACGATAGTACTAATAAATGTTCCTCAATCTTCCTTTTAAAGCAGACCTGGAGGGGACAGGAGCTCCACAAGGAGAGCAAAAGAACCAAAAATCTGGCCACAGGGGTCTTTTCTGAGACTGATACTCCAAACAAGGACCATGTGTGGATATAACCTAGAACCCTTTCACAGATGTAGCCCATGGAAAGCTCAGTATCCAAGTGGGTTCCCTGGGAGTAAGGGGAACAGGGACTGTCTCTGACGTGAACTCAGTGGCTGGCTCTCTGATCACCTTCCCCTGAGGTGGGGGAAGCAGCCTTACCAGGCCATAGATGAAGACAATGCAGAGAGTCCTGATGAGACCTGATAGGCTGGGGTCAGATGGAAGGAGAGGAGGACCTCTACTAACAGTGGACTTGGGGAGGGGCAAGGGAGGAGAAGAGGGAGAGAGGGTGGGATTGGGAGGGAATGAGAGAGGGGGCTACAGCTGGGATACAAAGTGAATAAACTAATTAATTTTAAAAAATTAATAAAAGGGACTGGAGTAACGGCTAGGAGTTAGCCGCTTTACAGAAGACCAACCTTGGTTCCCAGCACCCACATGGGGCTGCTCACAACTGCCTATAACACCAGTGCCAAGTGTGAAGCACACACATGTGAAAGCACATACACACAATTTTCTAATTAAAAAAAAAATAAATCTTTTTTTAAAAAAGGCATAATTAAATAAGATGTACACGACTTTCTTTGCTTATAAGATACATTCTCAGATGGGCACAGCTGTGCATGCTTTCAATTCCAGCATTCTGGAAGCAGTGGCAGGTGAGTTAGCCTATGAGTTCCAGGCATCCAGTTAGACCCTGTTTCAAAACAACAACAGGATTCATGACAGCAACTGAAAAACTCTAAACTAAGATCAATAAATTGGCTGAGTACTGCAACAATGTCAGTTTCTAGAGCTTGGAGAGTGTATGATGGGTGGCGATGTGACCGAATGCCTCCCCCTCCCTCTTTTTCAGGGAAAAGTTATTATGCCAGCAACAGACTCCCAAAGAACTCAGTAATAAAGGGAAGATTATACATATCCATATATTTGAGAAGAAAAGAATAAAAGAAACCTGGTAAAATAACATTTGGAGAACATGACTAAAAGAATTCTAGAATTCTGCTATTCCTCCGTTTCCCAAAGTCTGAGGTCCTGCTAAATGCTAAAGGATCACCATCAAAGGAGCTAGAAAGATGGCTCAAGTATGCAGGTAGACATACGCTCAGGCAAACACTCATACACATAAAATAAATAAATTTTAAAAAAGAATCATAACCACACTTTTACCAAACCATGGAAAAACAGACAGTAGGCATCATGACTGCCACCTCACTCCTATTTACTTCAGTGTGTATATGCCAAAACCCAGGACACCACACCCAGACCACCCTGTGACATGTAAGGAAGCCATCAACTATGAATTCGCAGTACCTCACACACCACCTTCTTCTCTTGTTCCCCAAACCTTCTTCACAGGTTTTCTCCAACCTAGTCCTTTCCAAGTTCATCTATTTGCAGGAGGAATGTTCACTCAACTCTCCTCAACCATGGCCTGACTGTGTTTAAAAGGTCCTGTCCAGTTGTTCCCATGTTCTAGGCATCCTGGAGGCTAGACTCTGATGAAGGCCTTCTAAGAGCTCACGGTGCTCCTGCTGTGTGCCTCGCATTGCCTCATACCAGGAAGCAGGGTAGACAGGCTGATCCACCCCTTGTTCTCCTTGTACTAATGATCAACATTGAGAATACAGGAATATTTTCTGTCTCTTTAACAGTCTCCCCTTTAATGGCTTTGGCTTCACCAATGATCTTTGCCTAGTTCAATCATTACATTGATAAATATTTTATTATTCCTTTCCCATATTAGCTTCCCCAATATTTCCCATTAGTCTTTCTTTTCCATTAAGTTTCCCTAAGCTGGGCCTGGTGCAAGCCAGTACCTGGAGTAGAATCAGGAAACTGTTGAGTTCAAGGTCCACAAACTCTTGTCTCCAAAAGGGAACAGTTTTGCCTTGAACTCAGATCTCCACCTGCCTCTGCCTCCCAAGTACAAGGATTAAAGGCCTGTGCCACTACTGCCTGGCTTGCAGACAATGTTTTTGTTTGTTTGTTTTTGTTTGGGGGAGGGTTTGGTCACAATTTCATTATATAACCTAGAAGTGCAAGTCTGCACGCCTGCCTCAGCCTCCTAAGTGCTGAGGTCACAGGCCTGAGTCACCCGGCCTGGCTTCTGTACCTATACACAGGTCTCATTCGGAATAGTGCTTCACTCCATCTGCAAGTTTGGAATAATTTTTTGAATATATAATACATAAAGCAGTCTTCTTTTTCTATTGTTAAAAAGGAAACAATAAAGAAATTAATCACAGATCAAGAGACTACAAAGACAGCCTCAGTCTCATTCATTCATACCTATGCCTCTAGTCACCTGGTTCTTATCACTCTGATCCCATGGGAAAATGTGCGTATATACTTATGTACAGTACTAACGTCTACATTCTTTTTCTTAACAGTTACAGTGTTTGCTTATTTGTGTATATGGTATATGTATACACGGACACACACACACACATTCACACAGAATATAACTAGCAACTTCTTGTCTCCATTGTAAAGTAACCTGGCAGATGAAAAAATGGCCCTTCACTCACACTAATTTGAAATATACTGAATTTCCATGAAGATGACTTTTCCTTTATTAACTAATAATGCTGCATTTCTTTCTCAATAAACTGTCAATCTTTTCCCTTATCAATTTCTCTGTAGTACTTATGGCCTTTTACTAATTAATTTCAAGGACACACATAAAAACATGTTTTTGTGGGCTGGAGAGATGACTCGAGGTTAGGAGCACTGGCTGCTCTTCCAGAAGTCCTGAGTTCCATTCCCAGCCAGCACATGGTGGCTCCCAGCCGTCTGTAATGAGACCTGGCGCCCTCTGCTGGCGTGCAGGTGTACGTGCAGGCAGGGTACTATATAAATAACAAATACACCTTTTAAAATCATGTGTTTGTTATGCATATTTCTTACTGAAAATTTTCCTATTTTATCGTATGTAGTGTAAATATTTCTGTTTTTCTCCTTTTAACTTAGTTTCTAACATTTTTCTCTACAACCTTCTTCCCCCTTTTTTGAGTCAGAGTAATGCTACATAGCTCAGGATGATCTTGTCACTACATAGCTAAGGCTGGCATCAAACTCACAATCCTCCTGCTTCCACCTCCCAAGGGCTGGGAGGTATGTACTACTACATCCAATTCTAAAAGCTCTGTATTTGTGAGTTGCAAGACGTATCTAGGCAGGCAAGCTGGCTCAGTAAGTGAAAGTGCTTGCTGCCAAGCCTGACATCCTGAATTCAGTCCCCAATTCAATTCAATTCAATTCAATTCAATTCAATTCAATTCAATTCACGCTGGAAGGAGAAAAGACGATGAAAGTTGTTCTCTGACTTCCACATGTCCCCCCACACCCAGGATAAATAAGTAATGTAATACATAATAAAGAAAAATAATGTAATATGTAGTAAAAAAACGTTTCTTTAAAAAAATATGATCAGGACTTTCGCTTGTTTGGCTCCTATATTTTTATACTGTTTTAAGCATCTATTTTTCTTTTAGTATTTTCAGTATATTATAAACACATGTATTAATTAATAGAATTTACTTAGAATTAAGCTTCCACATGAGCTTTTCCTACTTAAATACCTGAAAAGAATAAGAAAGCTAATGTTTTCTTCACCAAAATCTAATGTAGTACTAATTCAAGAAACTGATACTTAAAACCCAAGAAAATTTCCAATAGATCAAAAACACCACATCACTTCAAATAGGTCTTTTCAAAGTCACATTATCTTTCCACCTGTTTTCCATCACTATTCCCTAAAGACTTTTCCAAAAAAAACTGTGAAAGCTTGAAGTCCCAACAGCATGGTATTATAGCTATTTCCTCTGAGCTGGAACACCTCCCCACTGGAGGGGAAAGGAAGGCTCCAAAATCTCTAGGAGCTCAGAAAAAGTAACAGACTGCTCACCTCTCCTCAAGGTTCTATGAGCTGTGAGTAATTTCAGGGGAAGATTCTGATAGAGCCGCAGGGCTCCTAGATGTATTATCTTTTGTGCATTCCAGCGCATGCTTAGATGGCCCTTGCCGTGACAGTGTCACCAGAGTCACCAGGCGCATCTCAGTAACTCCAACAAACCTCACTCACTACTAAATCACCAAGTTTGCTGGTTGGAACTGTTCCTGGTCTGCTGCAGGAGCCTGACTGCAGTGGACAGATGTTCATTCGCATCGTCCCAGGAAGACTCACACAGAAAGAAGCCACTGTATTACATAAAATACTCTCTCCCTTACTTGACTTTTTGCCATATTCAATTTATGTTACAGGTACTAATAACAAACACTGAAACCTTTAATAACAGCAGCTTCTAACAAGAAGAGTCCTTCTAAATACCAAGCATAAGATAAAATGTTTGGCTAAGTATGAAAGTGCACACCTTTAATCCCAGCAATTCGGATTAAAGGCAGGTACCGCTCTGAGAGTTCAAGACCAGCCTGATCTACAGGGGGAGACACTATATCTCAAAAAAGAAAAGAAAAAAAATCAAAATTTGTCCCTCTTGGTAAAATGATCTACTAAAATGTGACCTGTTCACGAGCAGATGAGCGAAGTTGACTCACCATATGAGGAGCACTGATTGTTGCTTGGAAACCTGCAAAAAAAGAAGAGAATATTGACAAACTCAGTCACAACAACACAATACATAATGCATGTATCTCCTTTTTTAACAGCCACACAATGTTTTTCATAATTCTTTTTCAGTTTTTATGATCTTAAAGCAAAATTTGTTAGAAAACACAGTCACCCCAAAGGCTCAAGTGCCCATCTAGTAAACCAACTTCTGAAGGTGCCTCCTGCACTGTGGCTGACAAAGGAAACAGACAAGCTCGCACACAGCCAAGGCTAGCCTTACACTGTGTAGCTGGGGTGGGACCTGGACTCCTGCTCTGCCTGCCTTTACCTCCCATGTGCTCAGTTTATAGGCTTCATGCCAGCCTGGAGTGATTAGTTCCTCTCTTCCTTTTTGAGGAATTCTCCATATGAACTCAGGCAGGTCCTGCCTTAGCTCCCAAGTAGCTAGGATTACAGGCCTGCACGAGGAAGGATTTCAATACACTGAGAATTGATAGGTTCTTTGTCACTTATTTTCTTCAGATTCATAAAAGGAAAAAACCTTCATAAGTGTAATAAAAATCTTAGCAGAATTAGTTTCGTGCTTAGGACAACAAACACTTTAAACAAGTTAGATGACCAGCTACAAAGAAAGCACTTGAGCGTGCCCCTATATTGCTGTCCAATGGTAAATCACTGTCTTGGGCTGGGTTTTAGCCCGTATTTTTCTTCCGGTGTTACGTTCTCAAGATTTCTTTACCTGCTTCTGCCTCTAAAGCAGTTTTCACTGAGCGGTGGTAGCAGGTGCCTTCGGGGTTCAGAAGCTCCCCAGGATCTTCTTGCTGACGGTCACAGTGCTTCAAAAGAAGACATGGCAGCTGGCCGACAGAATCCTAAGACACTTCTAAGCCTCAAAGGCGCCCACTGCCAAGGCCCAGCAGCTCAGCGAAACCTGCTTCAGGACAAGGAGTTAAATGCAGGACTTTCTACAGACAAATGAAAGCCAAAGCATCCATGGGGCCAGCGAAGCCGAAACGTCAATCATGACTTAGTTAGCTATTCCCTTTAAATACTGGTTTTAAAAATCAATGATAATATGCAAACTCAAAATTACAGATCCTCAATCAAACTTAGCACCCAGTCTAAAACGCTTAGATTTTCATTAAAGTTTTGGTTTTCCTTAAAATATTCCCCAAACTTCCTGATTCACATAATGTATTTTTAAAGACAGAAAAAAAAAAAATGAATTTTGTCACAAGGAGTTGGTCAGGATTGCCAAACTGGGTGACAAAACTTCCATTTACGGGGTTAACATCCATATCTGTATGCTGCTCTTTTCCTAGTCACAAAATTACAGAGGAACTGAGAAACAGGAGACTTTCTAGAAATATAAAGCTTACCTATTGATTGAGGAGAATCCATGTAAGGGTTAGATTTTGCATAGTGGGAGCGGTCTGTAGCCAGCATCACTTCAAATACTTTATCTGTCTTGATGATGCCATTTTCTGAAATGAAAGAGATGACAGTTATTTTAAGCAGATGTAACACTGTATTTCAGAACTACCCTGGCTGCACCGCTGAGGTCAAAATGAAGCAGACAAGACCACAGGTCTGCCATGATCCAGGCAATGTCACTTGGCTCTAATGACAGTGGACAGGCTGGAGAAAATGAAGAGTTTCAGTTACATTTACTATATAATATATACTGAACTGACTGAATGACTGAATGCGGTGGAGCTGGGGTAAGGGATGACAGTCACTTGACGATGAGAAAACCTGGAAAGGCATCGGGATGATTTGGAAGCTGTGGGTCACACACACAGGAATATTCAACAGTCAAGACACATGAAGCTGAGGCCCAGGAGAGAGTCCTGACTTAGAAACTCATGTCTCTGTTCACACAGATGATAACTGGAGTAAAGTTAAAGCAGACAGGGAAGAACACACCGAGAAGGCAAATAAAAGCCAGTGCAGACAGCTGTGGCATACAGCAGCGCCTTCAGAATGAGGAGTTGGGTAGGTGGCTCAAGCCAGCAAGTCCTAGCCTAGGGAAGCAGAGACAGGACCATTCACACAGTTTCAAGGCCAGCCTGGTCTACATAATGAGTCCCAAGCTAGTCAGTGCTACATAGTAAAAGCCTGTCTCAAAAAAGCCAAAAAAGAAAAACAAATTAACCACAGAGGCAAAGGCAGGCTAAAGTTCCAGCTGACATAGTGATATAGAACCCAAAAGAAATGAATATTTCAAGAAGGAAATAAGGTCAGTAACATGTGCATTTTCTTTCCCCAGCAATCTGTTCTTTAACATGGTGTTATAGGCATCTTAGGCTTCATGTCGGCCCACAAGTTATGGACGAAGGGGATATCTCTGATATAGACTATGCTGCCGGCTTTTTTATCATTTCTCCACGATGGAACTTCTCTACCAGGCCACAAGGAAGGAAGAGAAACTCAGTCCTCCCGTGAATTGATGAAGCTAGGCTTTCTGGGTAGTGGGGCTCCCCTGTTCTAAGGAATAGGGGAGAGGAGATGTGCAAGGGAGGGTAGGAGGAGAGGGAAGGACTGAGCTGCAAACTGAATTAATAAAAAATGAGAAAAAAGCGCTGTATTATAGAACTTCACTGGGGTATGGTAGAACGTGCCCTTAACCCCAGTGCTTAGCGGGCAGACAGGCAGATCCCTGAGTTCAAGGCCAGACTGGTCTACACAGCTAGTTCACAGTGAGGCTCTGTCTAGAAATACAATAACAACAACTTCAATAACCCTCATTAAACCGCGCATATAGTTACTCAAGTTCTCATCTCTCTCTTCAACGTGTTCACTGCCTGTGGACGGCAGACCCATTACCACATGAGGACAAACAAAACAGCCTAGTTATAGATCTAAAAGCACTAGGACTGAATGAATTGTCTTGACTCCAACACTTCTGGAGAAAAATAAAATTTTCTTGCTGTTTTTGTTTTGCTCTTTCGAGACAGGGTCTCACTATGTGAGTCCAGGGAGGACTCAAACCTACTAGTCTCCTGGCTTCACTAAAACTAAAGCATGGACACTCACAAAAATAAGCCAGCAAGTTCAGAATAAATAAAATATTTAAACAAAACATGCTTTGCTTTTTTGGCCACATTATAAATAGCTATTTTTAAACGGGACTTCAGTAAAAGCAACTTGAGTAGCTTACATATCCAAACTACTGTCGTTTACTTGTCAATTGCGGAAATTTCAGTTTCAGAAAGTTAAGGATGGTCATACAGCTGTTCAAAAAAGACAACAAAATAAAAACCCTAAACCTGGTGTCAAGGGGCAGAAACTAAACAAACTTGCCCTACAGCATCACTGGACCAGGGAGAGAACAGCAAAGAAAAAGAAAAAGGAAGCAGAAGACACTGATGCAGTCACACTGACACCCGAGACGGAAGCGCTGCAGGACACACACAGATAAGCACTAGGGAACCTGGACTGTCAAGCACAAAGAGGTATTCCTTCAAGGGAAGGGATACTCCATCTGTTATACACCCAGAAGGCTGCAGCAGACATGCTTTCTACCGGGTGACCTTTGTGCTATCTGTGTGGTCAGAGACTTTCTTGGACCTAACGTCCCCAAGACTCTTATTGTAAGCTTGTTGTTCTCAGTCATCTATACAGCCTATCTTCATGGACTTTACAGAGTTTCAATGTAGTCATGTCTGACTTGTATTTGGTTTATTTTGCTCCTCAAGGATAGTTTTGTATGCTTTGTTATGCACTTGAGTCAGTCATCACCAGAATAATTCTCACCAAGTTGTGCTACGCTTAAATACGCCTAAAATAAATCCCTTGGAGTCAAGACTCTGGAGGTTGGAACCACCACCGGCTACTGTGTTGCTCCAAACTGCTTTCCTGCCTCCATCAGCTAATCTCCCCGCAGCCCTAAGGCCACAAAGACGGCTGCACCCTCTCATCCTCCCCTCGAAAGGTGCTATAATCTTCAACACATGTCTAGGGTTTGCAGCAATGGCTTCAAGAAATGTCTTACGAGGCAGGCAGATTGCTGTGAGCTCAAGGCCAGCCTGGTTTACAAAGCAAGTCCAGAACAGCCAAGGCTACAAAGAAACCCCATTTGTACACACACACCCCCAAAAAAGAAAAAGAAATGTCTTACAAGCCGTTTGGCTAAAGTTGCCAAGACCATTCAACAAAAAAAAGACTCTCAATGAATGATGTGGAGACAACGAGAGAGCCACAAGCAAAAGGATGAGCTTCAACTTTCCCTTGTGCCATAGATAAAAATTAATTAAATAAGGCAGAGTTTTAAAAACTAAATATAGAGCCAAATGTGGTGCACACCTTTAATCTCAGCACCTGGGAAGCAGAAGCAAGTGGGTATCTGAGTCTGAGACCAGTCTGGTCTACACAGCAAGTTGAAGCAGGGCTACATAGAGACCCTGTTTCAAAACCAACAAAACAAAATAAAAACTCATGACTAAATATAAAAGCCATATGGTAACCTTCATAGAAGAAAGGATGATGAGGGGCTAGAGAGATTGTTCAGTGGGTAATAGCACTGGCTGCTCTTGCACAGAACCTATTCCATCCCCAGCACCCACATGGTTGGGTTCCAAGGGGATCTGATGCCCTCATCTATCCTCTACAAGCGACAGGCATGCACACAGCACATACACATGCAGGTAAATACTCAAATACATAAAGTTAATCTAAAAGATAAAATGTTTAAAAAGAAAATACTGGATAAGTATTCAAAACCTTTTTTGACCTATTCTACAATTAGATTCTTATATAGCCTAACAAAACTAAAAGAACAATAAGTTGTGTTTCAAAAGACCTTCCCTAATCTGAAAAGCTTCATAAATAATGGCAAAGACCACTGATTTGATAGAAGACATTTGTAAATCACTATCTATGAAGTCTTAGCCAGGTGTGGTAATGTGAGTATCTGAGCACTTGGGAGGTGGAGGCAGAAGGGTCACAAGCTCAAGGCCATGCTCCGCTGCACAGTGAGCCTGGGGTCAGAGGGTAGCATGAGACCTGGAGGAGCTCTTAGGACTCAGTACTAGAAGCAGCCAGCTAGGGTGGGCTGGGCTCAGTAGTAGAGGGTTTGCCTAGCATGGCATGGGGCCTGGGCTCAGCCTACACTACCAAAATAAAACCCAGGAAGTTTTTAAAAGATGACCCAAACACTGCCCACCAAAAGATGAGTGGAGGTGAGACGCGGCGTATGTGTGCAAACATCACTTGGCCACAAAAACAGGATGAAATATTTATTGATAAAACATGGATGAAACTGAAAAAGTATGCTGAGTGAAAGAGGCCAGTTATAAATTACTACATAGTATATGACTTTTAAATAAAATATCCAAAATCGGCAAATCTATAGATAAAAAAAGTAAATTAGTAGTTGCTTAAAGTTGAGGCTAGCAAGAGAATAAGAAGGTGAAACAAGATGCCCTTTTAGATAATAAAAATGCTAACGTGACCACACATTAGCACATTCAAAAACTCTTGACTGATATGCCTCTTGAATTACACTACACGGAATATACTGTAGTAAAGCTGTGTAAGGGGGGAAACACTTTAATGGGCAGGGAGCAAGCGGATGCACTGCTCAAGAGGGAGGGCGTGGCTACTGGGAGAAGAGGTGATGAAGAGAATGAAGCAGAAAGCATCTCATGGAAGCAGCAGCACCTTTCTCTTCTCCCTCCCAGTTTTCACCTCAACCATTGACACCATCACCTAGTACAAACCTGCAAATCACACAGAGCTCCTGGATGGTCTGAAGCCCTGTCCACAAATGTCTCAAGACAAAGAAAAAACTAAGCTGGCCTCTTACAAGAAAACACAGGCCAAAGCACCTCGGCGGAATGACACAGCTGATTTGAGGCACCCCAGAAAGTAAGCAACCCAGGAATAATCAACTTTAAGACATATTCTGGAAAAATGATCCATTTTAAAGCCAAAAGAAAAGCTAGGTCCTTCAGGCAGGTTAAAAGAGGGAGGTAACATTAGGATTTTTTAGAGGAACATTCAAAGCAAAGCAGGAATAAAGCAGTTTTCGAGGAACTTCAGCTGAAGACCATCCCAGGCGCTGCGGAGTGACCGCAGCTGCACTCAGCACGCTTTCCTCAGGCATGAAGGCAGAACCCACGCAAAGGCCTTACAAGGATCGCCATGAAGTCAAGCTCCGACAGAAAACCATTCTAGCAGAGACTGAGCTAGCTGTCTATGAGACCACACGTTAAAGCGGAGGGAGCTGAAAAAGGGATACAGGGCACTTTTTTGGGGGGTAAAGAAATGTGCTATAACCAGTACACTTTTGCAAAGGGCAAAACAGGAAGCATTTAGGGCTTTGCTGACCAGAGGGACTCAGCCACTGCAGCGCGGCAAGAACACAATGAACGTGTGTACCTCTGTCCCCAGAAATGTCTACAAAACCTGGAACCAGCCCAGACTTTGTCAAAGCTGTGAACAGTTTACCCCATCTTCATTACAATTCAATTAGAGCTGTGAA